CCGAAGTTTCCGTAAATCGGGAAGAAAAATGCCAGTAAGAAAGAGGAGAAGAGTGCACAAATAACGCCTCAATTGCGCTTCTATGTTTTACGAATTTGGCATGACCAAATATGAAACGTGTTAGCTTCGAAAAATGATTCTGAAGTTTTGAAAAGCCAGCTGTGATGCAAGAAAAATGCATTGGAATGCGCTTTGTTTTCATTATTCACTGGTCATAGCTCTTTCAAAGTCGAGAGGGTGCTCAAAATGTTGAACTAAGACAAGTTAAAGACATCGAGTCCAAAAATCACAAAATATTGAATTTAATTGTTTTGTGAACGCAAGAGCAACTTGCTCAGGAGCACGGCCCGCTGAAAACGGGAAGAAAAGCTGCGTCGAATAGTATCAGAGACTTCTGCCTACATTTACTCAGCATGCGTTTATGATAGGTTGAGAAAAAAACTTTCAGAATTACGTAGGTTAAATCGAAATCTCAAGAAAACAATCTGAAGTGAGGAAGTGCTTCGTGAAAAATTTTGCTCTATTTACTGGTTTTGAAGCTCTTATAAAAGTGTGACATAAAAACTTTGAAAATTAGCGATTATTTACATTAACAACCCAATTGTTCGGAAGGGGTAAATTTTGTGCGAGTTCTCCTAGCCATGTTGGCTTTGATTCTACCGGATTTAGTCTGTTACTGGTACTTACCTCTTTGAATGGACGCAAAATATATGTTGTAATAAGAGAATTTCAATACTTTGCAAATTATTTCTACTATCTTCGATAAAGAGTGTATTCATATGCCATGGACTCTCGTATGAGATTCTCCTATCATCGTAGTGACTATGCTCAACTGTTTCCGAGAAAGCCGTTTATCTAAACTTTGACTGCAATTTACCGTGGCGTATGATAACTATATCACACACGACACAATACGACCCACCGGTGGGTCGTACGTGTCCTGCCATTTCGGACAATGCACCCACCGATGGGTCGAATACGGTAAAATTCTGAATTTTGAATTTTCTGAATTTCTGAATTTTTTGGTTTTGCTAGTTTACGTTGGAACTTTTTGAGCAAATTGAGTAAAATTCTGCATACAATCCTTGGAGTAGTTCCCAAATGATTAACACTTCAGACCGCAGGACCCATAAATGACTAGAAAATATTATGTTAAGTCAATATTGCGAATTATGCTCTGGTCTGAAATGGCAGTCATCGAGATATCGGCCTTGTCGTGAATGTGATATGATAACCTAAGCATATGATGACCTAAACCCTACCCATCGACGTCAGTACCTCTTAGTTGTAACTACATACTACGGGCTTCGTGATCTGAAGTTTCGCAGGGAACATTTCAAAGTTGCCAAAAGTCTAAAAAGTCTTCACTTGTGTTCTATGCTCAAGGTATCTGCGAAAGTTGGATTTAGTAGGTCTAGAAATAAAAGCTGCGTCAGGTGGTCTTTAGAAACGAGAAAATTCTGGATAGACAATCTAAGCGAATGTTGGATGTTTGACATAACTTAATGATTTGAAGGGTTCTCTTCGTAACCATAATTTTTCAAAATATGTTTTTCATAATCTCAGAAATTTAGGTTGACACTGAAAACTGTCTTTTAAGCAGGAAGTACAAGTATTTTGAGTAGAATTCAACTGGTCTACTGCGCTAGAGACATCGCCAAAATGAATAAAATGCTCTTTTCCTAGCTCAGAAATAGATTTTTGCAATACCGCTGCACTAAAAAATGTCAAATGATATCACCAACCTGTAATCTGACACGTCTTAGTGCCCTCTTTATCAGTGTTAGCTTTTATAGTACAGACTCGAATTCTTTTGAGCGTTACTACGTTTTTCTCAAATGTTTTTGCCTTCATGGTAACAATGTAATAAGAACCTGTAAGGCTTTACCCCGTGTGCGCATTAAAGCTTTGCTCATGGCTTTACACAGATTGTCCTCCTTGTGTTTGATAAATGGAAGTTCTCTGTTTGCCAAAAGCGCCACTTTTGATAGCATGTTTTCTTTTCGTTCCGACGCTATTCTTGGTAATCGATTAATAGTTCCATAAGATAAATCAACAAACAAGCATATATACAGGGTGTCCCAAAAGAGCACACACTTTTTGATCCTTAATAACTCTCTCCCCACAAAGTGTTTTGCTTAGCTTCAAGAACCATTCGGTAGAGTACGCTTTAGCTTAGATTTGCAGCATGAAGCGAATCACTCATCCTTCTTCTACTGTAGGATTATGGTAAGAAATTTTAGCTTACAGCGTCATTATGAAATAAGCCGTTTCAAAAAAGTTTCAGAAAAATTTTGAGAAGAAACTACCTTCAATAGCTTTTGAGCGGTTTAGTGGTTTTGCTGGAAACAGCATTTTTCAAAAATGTGAACAACGGTTTACACAGCATGACTTATGAAAAAAGGTTTTACGGATAGACAGCGCGCTCATTTTGGCCCGATGATACAGTTTTCGGCTCTGTGACTATCCATTTTGGGGCAAAATGTAGCCAAATTGATTCAAAACAGTCTTCAAAGTTCCTACCGTGATCTTATAATGGTGAAAAGAGTTGAGGTACAATATAGAGTCCCTCTTTTACTGCAAATCTTGGAGACTGTTTTACTGAATGGTGCTTGAAGCTAAACAAAAGACTTTGTGGAAAAGAGTTATTATCAATTAAAAAGTTGTGCTTCTGTTGGGATACTCGGTGCATGACTTTTCCATTATCCGGAGCCATTTCTTCTGAGGGCCGCATGCATCCTCGCTGGGGAGGGTATCGCAGCTAAAAAAGAAAGCTTCACATCCTGAAGCTCCAGATGTCTGGATTTCCCTCTGTCTACCCATCCGTAAGTATTTTTACCATCCTTCATGAATGAACGTAATGGACAGGAGCGAGAAGCTGTAGAAACCGCATTGCCAGCTTTTTGTATGATCTCCTGATGATCCCCCATCCTTTCTTCAAAGTCATTTTTCTTCCTTCGAAGTTAACGAAAACCTTCCAAAGTCGTCCTGATTATCTAACCCAACAGTGCTAAGCATGTTGCTGATAAGAACAAATGAGTTTCTGGAATATCGATTTTTTCGGTGAACCAACTTTTGACTTGTGATTCATCGTACATTTCGTGACTTTGAAACATCACCTATTCTTACCAGAAACATGATTAACACTGTTGGGTTAGATGAACAGCACAACTTTGGAATGCTTCACTGATTTTGGAAAAAGAAAAATGATTCAAAAAAAGACGGTCGGCAGCTGAGGATCATTAGGGGATAGTATAAAAAGTTGGACGTATCGTGTTCATAGTGAAGAGTGGTGGGAATACTTACGGATAAGTAGACAGCGTGAAATCCAGATTGGAGCTTCAAGATATGAGGTTTTTTTAAGCTGTGATCCCCTCCCCCAGAGGGGATATTAGTATCGCGGCCCTAAGAGTTCTTAGGGCCGCGATACTAATATTCAAAATTCATAGATTTTTTGAGGACGGTTCACCTGTTACGTGTTAGGAAAAAACTGACAGCTGTTGATTTAGTTTGACATGTTTCTTCTTACAGTTAGATTATTTACGTGAGGTAAAAGAGCATTCAAAATGACAAAGCTTTCAGCTTTTTGTTTCATGAAAACAGTTCAAAACGTTTACCAGAACTTTTTGACCGCTTCTGGCGATGATTTATCCACATTCACTACAAAATGTTCCCGCCATGCAAACCTAGCAGGTCTTTATTCAAATAAATCGTTCTTTCGACCGAGTCAATAATCGAATATTTGAGGAATTTTGTAGGACAGTCATTCAAATGACCGCAATCAATTGAGAATTTTCGGAAAACAGTTTTTGAATTCGAATATTGGAATGTCGTATTTATTTCGATGATATTTAGTTATTCTTTTATTCGAACAATCGAAGATTCTATCAAGTTCGGTTATTCGACATACTCGATCACCTCGATCTCGAATAATATGAAAATCGAAAATCAAACAATATTCGCTCATTCGAAAATGTTTCGAAATCAGTTATTCGATTTCATTCGTGCGGAAACTTTTCAGAAATCAATAATCATTCATTCAAAGATTGTTCGTTACAACTATAATACAAGGAAAGAAGCAGCATACTGTTTCGAAAAAAGGGGTCCGGATCATAATGGGGAAGTACCTATAGAACAAATACGTAAACAAACAAATGAATAAATAAGAGACTTCAGTCACCGCTCTTGTTGCGGCTCGGTGGGCTCAGCACCCCCTTCCCTCACTCGACTGCCTGCACAGCCCTGCACCTACTGCCTACAGACCTTAGCGCCGGTTAGCTACTCCGGTGCGTCCGACGAAACGATCCCGATAAGTGGCAATAAACCATGACAACAAACGCGCGACTAGATTACTGAGAAATGAGCTAAACTACTAAAACGTTTAAACTAGGGGAAATGACAGACGGGACGAGTCCGCCCTGTCCCAAGCCGCCGATGACCACCAACCTAATTCCAATCCGTAAAGTCAGGGAAATCCACAAGGGTCGACCGCCTACTCTCGCCTCCGCGTAGGAAAGGTACGCCCTCTCCACTCCCGGTATATTAACTTTACAAAGCTCTAAACTTTCCTCGCGCGTTAGCGCGGCATAATCCAAAAGCTCTAACAATCACTCTGCTCGCAAGACTTCAATTACGGGAGCTTGCTGGGTAGCTGCCAAGCACGATCGACAAGAGTGCAAGAGAAAAACGAATTTTAAAACGAGGTCACCGAAAATCAAAGAGGTATATGTCGCGCGTTGCGCGGCCTTATATACCCCTAGACTTGGCAATGCGCCCAGCGAGGAGAGGTCCGTGCGCGAATGTAACAGCGCGTCCGATTCAGCGGAATGCAGTGCCCCCGGCACCTGAATCGAGGCGTGGCTTGCATCGCGCGAGCCGCGACAACGCTACTTCGCTTAAATTCAAAACCAAACTAACTCCGTTTCCTCGATCTCACCATAATGACTAATTTGAGAGATTGGTAAAGTTCTTTTTCAAAGATGGATTTTACAGACGAACAACTAACATGCAAGGTCTTCGTGATGAATTTCAAAAAGTCTATTCGGCCAATGATATGGTGAAATTTCTGTACAAAGCATCCAAAATTGTACTGGCCTCACGTAAGTCCTTTTCTATTTAGTCTATGCTTCGTACTTCATTGTGTTATGGGTGTTGTAGCAAAAGCTTTCTAATACTCGCTTTAACCTAAATAAATAGTCATAGACTTCGATGTGTGCCGTGCTTGTGTACTGATGATTGCAGCAAGAAATGAATTTTGTTTTGCTGCTGTAGAATTTCAGTAGGTCTATTCACCAAATGGCTATCATTGTGACACTTATATTGTGCGACAAATGAGAGTTTTGGCAGATCTGTCAAATTTTAGTACCTAATTTCACTACAACAAATATGAGAATTCCTAGTCATTTTCTGTGTCAAAGCATTGTGCAGATGTAACTTATGTTTGCAGTATCAGCTTTCTCTATGTAGATTGCTGTAGTATGAGACCGTAAGCGCAGAAAAATACGTTCGTAATTTTTTGAGAACACGTATCCGTTCAGATCTATTCTAAATTTTACGATGCATTTATGCATCCCAAAGTACGGAACCATGGATCTTGTGGTCATTGAATATATTAGGTTGTGTAATAAGTTCTGTCCCATCTTTTGTTTCAGTTTTTTCTCAACAGTATTAACTTTATTTGAAATAACGTGTGCATTTCGAAGCTCTAGGTTTGCTACTCATTCATGCGCGTCATCTCTAACTTAGCAGAAATTGAAAAAGATTTTCTGGCTTTGAAACAAAAAATACGAGAGGTGAAAGAAGCATTTTCGACATTTTTTTTCTCTCCAAATATCCCCGTTTTCCATGAGATTTATTCGTCAGACTTGACAACAAAGCAACCTATTAGACTTATTTTTGTAATGTCACTGTTTGTGCTTGCTCTCTTCCTTCTACTGACTTTTTGATGTTTTTTTTTAAGTCGGCGAAGCAAGACTTTGTCGCGGCGATGTTGTCGTCTCACTATTTGTCGAATGTGGTTTTTTCCTCCTTGGTTTTTCAAATTTAACGATGGAAAATTTATCCAAGTATTCTGATGTAGAGAGCAGAAATAGATATTCTGGTAGAGCAGGCTTAGAGCTTTTTAATGCATATAGACATTTTACGAACACCACGCAAAATATTGAGAAGAAATTGAAGGAAATTTTGGGACAGAACTTATTACACGACCTAATATTTAGCAAGAAACTGTCCATTGCTACCGGTCGCACATGTAGCGTTTTTGTCAAAAAAGAAGTCTTCGCGTTATGACATTTATGGTTGTTGCTATTCTGCTCGATAAGGGCGTGGCACGAACAACACTGCCAATTCCAAAGCAAAATTCTTGCCTTATCTGATCATTTGAATGTTATATTTTTATGCTGGAGTTTGGAGAAGATAGAATTTTTTAAAGTCGCTCATTCTGAGCACGCTTATGCAAAGTTTTCTCCTTTAATCGTCCTACACAAACTATTATTCATCCTTTTTCTCTGTCATCTTGCTCAACTTATGCATCCAACTCTAATTTCAGATGCTGCTGCTGTTGTGCTAGGAATTCTGTATGTTATCCCCGTCATCATGATAACGATTGGTGCATTGAATTACAAGAGATGTCCTGTAAAAAAAGAGATTCCCGTCTGGTTAATTGTTGCTGGCATAATGGCATTAATCCAACTTTCAGTCCGCTTCATTTCCAAGTCTAAGGCAAGTTTGTTCTTTCTGATCATTCAATTCGTGGGCATCAATCGTTAGGCCTCGGGCAGAGTATACGCGATTTCATCGTCGCGATTTATCGCGACAAGACAAGTGTTACGAGTCTATCGCATGCCGATCTTCTTGTATTTCGGTTGTGATAGTTAGTCGCGCTTAGTTGTGTTGGAAAACTATCACAACCGAAATGCAAGAAGATCGGCATGCAATGGATAGTTGTCTTATCGCGATAAATCGCGACGATGAAATCGCGTGAACTCTGTCTGAAGCCTTGTTTGTTTCTTAACGCCAATTCGTTAGAGAAGCTCATAAGAGCAGGAACTATGACAATCAGAAAAGAGTTAGCAGTCAGTCTCTTCCTTACTACATTCATAAAACGACAAGCTGCCATAACCCAGTGGTTTCGGGCAACCGTAAACCAAGAAATAGTTCGGAGAGTCAGCATATAAAAATTAGGTACTTTTCCGTTATCCGAACCCATTTTCTCAGAAGCCTCTCATTGAATACGTTCTTTAGTAAGAACAATCTTACAAGAGATTCCACGAGGACTTTTTCCGCCAGTGTCAGGAAAGATTGACACGTTTTAGCCCATCTTGATAAGTATTTTTAGTCCATTTTAATATGTTTTTTTTCCATAATTATTCTGGTAAGGTAAAAAAAGAGCATTTTTGACCACCTAAAAGCTGTTTGACTGTTTTCTATAAGAGTAGAACTATCTACTTATAGCAGAGCATCTTTATTACGCCATGCAAATTCAGTCAGGAAAGGCTTTAGATGATGGCTCGCAGTACCTCGCTGCTGCTTCTTTCGCGCTTAGATGAGGAAACCTTGGCGCACTCTTACTAAGCCAGTCTAATCTATTCATTTATGAAAGGAAGACGTTATTCAATGAGAATGTTTATTTTTAAGATTGTTCAATTGAGAATGGGTTTGTTATTGACTAAAAATAGACCGAACTTAGGTCGCTAGGTAGGGCAACACAAACTCTTGGTAAGACATGCTAAACGTACAGTCGAGTCATTTTATATGATCATGGGTGCTACTGCACGCACTGTCCACCTTTGGAGTTCTTCGTCGTGAATTTACAATCGCAGAAACGTAAGAAGACGACCATTTGTTATCCCTCGCATCAGCTTGTGGAGATTGAAACCTAGAAAGAAAAGAAAACATAAAGAAAACACCGAAAACACCGAAAACACTTACCTGAAGGAGTGCCTACTCCTAGAATCCAGGATAGGGACGATGAAGTTGGACACTGCGTGCAATAACATACATGCTCATATGAAATGACTCGACTGTATATCTCGATTTGTCGATCGCGCGGACTGCTCAGACGTTGCGGACCACGCGCGGCGCGGCTGAATTGTCGCGAGAGCACGACTTGTGCAATGACGATTTGCACTAGGGCAAGCGTTTCACCTTGCGACGGGTGCTCCGCAGTGATGTCCAGTCCGAGCGGTCAACGAATCAACTATGACATGTCAAATTATTTTTGACACGTGGCAAAAGGCTCGCACCCAATCCTACGAAGTTGAGGCCAAATATTGTACAAGGAAAAACAATATTTTTTTGGAAAAAAATGGGTTCAAATAACAGAAAAGTACCGAAAATTCTTATGTAGTTTTATCTCGTACAAACAACCCTTGGCCATCCTCCCAGATAAGCTTTTGTCACAGCGCAATTGAACTCACGCAAACTATTGAGATTACATTGGCTCGTTGCCAACCTCGTTCCCACCGTTCCCCTCAGTTCTTCCCTTCCATACATCCATCGGTAGGGTCCTCCTCATAAGACATGCATAACACTAATCTTCTCAAATCAACGCATCAATTATAGCGAATGCGGGCACTTATTCTTTTTAATAAAAATTGAACAAATCAGTAGCTATTGTCCACAAAGTGAAGACCACTCCAGTCACTACCTTGATCGAATCAAGCCTTCAATTATAACAATTACAAAAAACAGCTGTGATCCTATGATGCGGTTGCCAGATGTGTAGCATGTATATGGGTTGAATCTATTCTCTCTGCTCTACACGTGTTGCGAAGTGTGATGATACCTACAGCAAATGGCGCTCATTCATTCTAGACTTAGAAAAATGACAAACTTTTAGGAATCAAATGAAGCTTGGTTCGTAGCTCTCTTTATATGCGCAGCAGTTTTCTGGAAAGTGTCAGTGGAGCTGCATTACCGATGTAACATCGAATCTATTTTTTTGATTTTGATAGGGAAGGAGCTACGTCACCACTCAAATACGGATGCCTTAAAGGCAGTGTGTCCAGTCAAATCTGGGCTCATGTGTTTTTTGCCTAGAAATTGTTGTGGGGGTTCTATCTAAGAAACTGTTCGAACGGCAGCGCAAATGAGATATCTATCCCCAACCCTTCCACGCCTGCGCCGTGACCGCCGTAATTCATAACTCGCGAGGCATTGTTAATGTGGGCGAAGTCAATTGCTGGTTACGGCCACGTCGCAGGCGCGAAAAGGTTTGGGGATGGTTTTCTCAGGCCTGAATAAATCTTTTGCGCTCCCGCTTGGGCATTGCCTGAGACAGACCCCTCATTAGATTTCAGGCAAAAAGCCGTGGGGCCAGATTTGTTTGGACACCGCCTCTAACATCATCGAGGAGGAGGAGGAGTATGCAGTTTGCCCAGAAAAAAGCGACTAATATCCTCCAAGACAATGGTTTGAAAGAAGTCTTCCCCTAGTTTAGGATTCTAATTTAATTGTATACGCTTGCCTAGAACATTGAGTTACAGGAATGGTCTTCCGCCATAACAACTATATGGGGATTCGTTCGGTTAATGCTCGGTTTAATTTTATTGTTTTGGTAAGTTCTTTTTCTTCCTTCCAAAGAGCTATATTAGGGAACTTTGAATGTGGGTGCTCACGATAGCCTTATATAGGCATAAACTAAATCTCGATCTCCAGGGAAATTATGTACAGATTTTTTGCACATGGGTTTTTGACATAGCTGTCACTGAAATCGATATCTTAAGCTACTACAAAATTATAACTCAAAATTCATATATTGTTAACACTTTACTATGACGCATTGTGAAAGGCATTAAAATGCATCGATATGATTGATGAATGCACATGAAGTCCATGATTGAGAGCTAAAGGTGATGCATGAAGAAAATGGCATAGACATATATGTTTCATTAAGTTCAGGTAGATGGTAGAGAATGTGCACAGTGATGGTCATTACCCACAATATTTGGAAACATCAAGAACCAATGAAATTGCTCTTTCTTGTGAACACTTTTGACCGTGCGACCAGCCACAACGCCTACTACTGTATGTGTCGGCTGCTTTCACAAGCATTTGGCGTGAACAGTTGCAATACTCAGTAGGAATATTGTTCTACATTAACATGCTTTCTAAAGTTTTGAACAATATTGTTCTACACTAACATGCTTTCTAAAGTTTTGAACAATATTGTTCTACACTAACATGCTTTCTAAAGTTTTGAACCCTGTACTTATGAGAAAATGCTTGCACCACTTCTATAATACCGCTTACAACTGATGTAAGTATAAAGATTTTGATGTTCATCACCTTAACGCGGGTGGCATCGGGCGAAAGGCGAGGGCAATCAGATCTTACACAGTCTGTGCTCAATGCGTTGAGTTGTCAGTGTGTTGTGCACAGATTTTCTTCCCTCAATTCCGGTTGTGACAAAAGAACACAAAAGAACAATGATTGGAAGAAGTGACGTCCGCTATAACAATCTTTTCTTAGTAAACTGCCTGTCAGTGACGACCTCTGAGACAAAATAAAGACCAACTCCCCTCATTTTTGGTGGCCCTTTGTAAAACATGTATTCCTTTCTTGCATTAAATGACCCACTTTACATTACGTGAAAATCCGCTGGTGTCTAGGAGTTAGTCGCCTCTACTCGTAAAGTGACCTGCTGTTGAATGTTTCGCTTTCGAATAGTATTCCGCATTGTCACTAAAACAGCACATCTTCTTGACAACGTAACTGAAGAAATTTCAAAAAAGGAAGCTTATTAGATGCAAAACTAAACTCAGTAAAAGGTTCGAAAAGTTCCCAACGTGATCTCGCTAACCTCACGCGATTCCAGTCGCTGTGCGATTTGACAGCAGCGACTTTTCATAATTTATAGTAAGCACGCTTTGCTTGTTCAAGACTTGAACCGTTTGCAAGGATTTACAAACTACGTACCTATGCAGTTGAGAGCCGCGCACAATGAATTTGGAGACATCTGGCAAATCGCCAAGTCGCGCAAATGTGGCGATTTGATGAAATTGCGGAAGGTACGCCTTAGGCCTAACAAGTAAAGGACTTGGTGACCGTGGCTTTTGTACTAAAAACGTACGTCCTCAATTGCATCTTGAAGCGCTGACTCCTGTTTTCATTGTCTGCTGTGCGCTCTTCCAAAAGAAGTTATGAACATGTGTAGTGCTGTTCTGCCAACCAGGTTGTGTTATGGTGGACCTTTACTGACCTTACGTTTCGACAAATCTCGTCTTCTTCGGAGGTCTGAAAGAGGAATGCAGTCAAATCATTTGTTAGTCTACACGATCAAACGCCTCATCAGACCTCCGTCGTTTGAACCAAGTCGAGGAGCAACGTGCCAAAAAAACAATTCAAAATGGATCCACTAACCTCTAGTCCACCTAAAGTTAGTAATCTGCACAAAAGTGACGGACATCACTGAGGTTCCTCAGTGTGCCAGGACTTTTTATACTGTGCGGTTTTAGGTCGCATAATGACATAAGAGGCAAGAGATCACTCGTTGTTGTCACGCGTTCATTTTTGTTCTTCATACTCGGATTTCCGGTGTACTTCCATGCCGCCTCTAGCATTTTTCGTGCCGATATCTCAGCCTCTTGCGCTAAGACTGTACACTTCACTTCAAATTCGTTACCATTATGTGCCTTGATCTTATGTTTGAAGATGACAGGTTTCCCCGCCTTTGGTCAGCCAGGTGTTCCTTCATTCTAACACTTAGGGCCGCATGCACTAACATGGCCGCGGGGAGGGGATCGCAACTTGAAAGAAAGCTTCATATTTCGAAACTCCAAATACTTACATTTCACGTTGTGTACCTATCCGTAAGTATTCCTAATATCCTTCACTATGAACATGTTGAACAGGAGCGAGAAGCTGTACAAACCGCATTTTCCATCTTTTGTATGATCCCTGATGATCCCCGGCGCTTTTCTTTAGAGTCATTTTTCTTTCTCCGAAGTTAACGAAAAACTTCCAAAGTTGTGCAGATTATCTAACCCAACAGTGCTAAGCATGTTGCTGATAAGAACAAATGATTTTTTGAAGTCATGAAATTTTCGATGATCCACAGCTCGAAATTTGGGGTATACCGAAAAATTCGATTTTTCAAAAATTCATTTGTTCTCAACGCAACATGCTTAGCACTGTCGTGTTAGCTGTTCAGTGTAATTTCGGAAGGTTTTCGTTGACTTCGGAGAAAGAAAAATGACTTTGAAGAAAAGATGTTCGTCCCCCAGGGATCATCAGGGGATCCTACAAAAAGCTGGGAAAAGCGGCTTGTACAGCTTCTCGCTTCTGCTCAATATGTTCATAGTGAAGGATGGTGGGAGTACTTAGAATGTATATCAGAAGATTGTATCGTATGTCCTTATGGGAAACTAGGTGGCTGCGCAAAAGAAGGCATCGTTTATCAAATAGAGTGCTTAGATAGATTACTTACGGATAGGTAGACAGCGTGAAATCCAGATATCCTGAGCTTCAGGTTATGAAGCCTTCTTCTGAAGCTGCGATCCCCTCCCCAGCGAAAAGGTTAGTGCATGCGGCCCTTACAAGGGAAGTTCGCCGAATCGAAGTGACCGATTGACATGTGGTGTATACCCGGGCTCGGGGCTCGGGAGGTTAGTATCAAATGTGCACCCATTAGCTGCGACGCGTTATTGTGAAGCAAGTTATGGGCCTCTGAAGTTTTTTTCCTGTGCATGTGTAGCGAACGCATGAACACTCCAATCGTGGTCGTGTGGTGTAGTGGATAGTGTCTCGGACTCACAGGTGACCGGTGAGGGTTCGAATCCTGTTGCTGTCCATGTTTTTTGCGTTCTTCCCAAATTTCATTTTTTACCTGTTTTATGTATTATTGAGTTAAAAAATGACACACGCGGCTTACGGGATGATTTTTCTCACGAACATTCGATCAAAGTTTCATATGTAAAATTTTCGGGCAAACTTCTTGCTTTGACCAATCAAACTTTATCCAAAGCCTATATAATATTAGATTGCTTACAAATAATCAACTATTGAGAGCATATGTGATAAGCTATGACAAAATGGTTGAAGCACAGGTACTTCTCGCAATGTGCACAACGAATAAATATAATGTCATTGCATTCTTCTATCTCACAGCAAGTTGAGTTCAGATTATAAGAAAAACAAAACTGTAGCGGCGTTTCAAAGGATTCAGGGTGCTCATCCACATACCCTGCGGCATGCCATGAGTATGCGAGAAAACCTTTGAAACGCGGCGAACAGAACTGGAAATAGACAAGTGAAATTAGCTTTAAAATCGAGTCTCTATGATGCAGCGGGAATTCAATTTCGTGAGTGTGAACAAATGAAACAAAACGCTTATAGACCGATTTAAATGGCAGGAAAAAATAAACATCAAGTGGTTGCACCATTGATGTGGTTCCCGCAGGAATATTCATAATTTTAAGACTTTTGCCCTCTGGCAATGCGGACATAATTGAATCATGATCTTTGAATGAAGACCACGAATCAACAAGTAAGAGAGTTGCTGCCGGAGAGTCTGGTGAAGCTACACATGAACGCACCCAGTCCAGTAAAAGTTGCTTGTTCATCATGTGCGTAGTATTGGCACGGATTTCAAGATTATGTGCTTCAAAGTGCCCTCTAGCGGGGAAATGCCCTTGTTTTTCCTAGAGAATTAAAATCAGGCATATAAAATTGTATTAATTCAAAGTACCTGCATCACCACATAGAGTTTCGCTCCAAGGTGGCCGTCTGCATACAGAATCGGCATAATGGTAAATGAGTGAGTCGTTGCGGATACCGACTGCACTACCCTTTCAACCTTTTTCGAGCCTTTCTCTGCCAACGACCGAGCGGAGTGAATTTCTTTTACAAACCCACTTTGATCGGCGTTGCAGATCAACGCAAGCGGCCATCTTTCCATTTCTGGAATTATCTCCTTGACTTATGCCTCAATGGAAGTAGCACAATTACCTTCTTTCACTTTGCTCACGAATGCTTGAGCATTTCTTGTAAGGGTTTCTTTGTCCAAAAAGTTTTTTTTTGGATATAAAAGTTGTTACCCTTCGCGAAACGATGTTGTTCCTTTTCTTGAACGTATTTATCCAGGTATGACCAGCATGGAAATTGTCTATGTGAAGCTCGTCTCTATTGATTTGCAGAGCGAAATCTCTCAAATCGTGATCGTGGAGAGAAATTCCCAACATTAATTTCGATGTTGCAACTTCCTTCAGCCTTTCGACCAGTGATCGGAGCCGTATATGGCGGTCAGCAAGTCTCTCACCTAGATATTCAACATATTTCTTCCAAATAATATGTCGAACACTTCAACTCACGATCTTTTTCAATCTCCCTCAATTTCACCAAATGATACGGGGTTTTGATGAATCGAAACTTATTAGTCATGCAGGATAGCGGACGACTTCCCTTTTCCGTTGAACGGTAGAAGGCAATTGCCTTTTCAACCTACAGTAGCACATTAAAATGGCAGCGGAAACACGCCAAATTTACACACCATTCGATATCGAGGGCATCAGTAGCTGCTTCACGCAAGATGTATGCGAACTCGTCGATTACTTTTTGTTCATTCCTAGTCGGTTTACGCATATTGTCGCAGGAGCCAAACTCCTTTGACAAATATGCTAAAACCAATTTTGGGCAGAACATAGCAACGACTTTTGAGCGACGGCTTGTCAATTGACTTTGAATGCTTGCCAAATTCTCACTCCCACATACTATCTTCGGTTGCACGTAGTATTTACGTGACAATTTCCAAGTTGTATCAGTCGTACTATTGATTCTTGCTAATGGGCTACTTGTGAGAATGACACGGCAGGATGTATAATTAGTAGAGTTTAACCAACCGTGTGTGTCATTTTTCACCTCAATAATACATAAAACAGGTAAAAAATGAAATTTGGGAAGAACGCAAAAAACGTGGACAGCAACAGGATTCGAACCCTCACCGGTCACCTGTGAGTCCGAGACACTATCCACTACACCACACGACCACGATTGGAGTGTTTATGCGTTCGCTACACATGCACAGGAAAAAAACTTCAGAGGCCCATAACTTGCTTCACAATAACGCGTCGCAGCTAATGGGTGCACATTTGATACTAACCTCCCGAGCCCCGAGCCCGGGTATACACCACATGTCAATCGGCCACTTCGATTCGGCGAACTTCCCTTGTTAGAGTTCTTCCGGTCTCTCGCATATAGATTGCCACAATCTAAGCACTCTATTTGATAAACGATGCCTTCTTTTGCGCAGCCACCTAGTTTCCCATAAGGACATACGATACAATCTTCTGATATACATTCCATGTCATAAAACCCATTCCTGGTCAACCCTTTTTGATGTTACCATCAGGAATGTTGAACAGTACCATCTCATTCTCTAGCTGTGCTCGTGCTATGCATCGGTTTACTGCTTTTACTGAAGCTATCAGAGGCAAATGGCACACAGAAAGGGATCCTGTTCTCATTATTGTCGCTTCGCACTAGACTACAGTCAGTAAATCGTCTATTACGGATGATGTCACGTTTGAGAGCTGTAGGATGCGCCAATATAGCGTGGACAAGTATGTTTTTGGAGCTTTCCTTTCGGTACCATTTGATTCGCACAGCGCCGTCAGATAAATTTAGCTGGATGTTTAAAAAGGAAAGCCAACCACTGCGCGGGGTCTCTCGTGTAAGCTTAATGTATTCCGACTGCTCGTTCAAAATTCTAAAGCATTTATCTATCTCGGACTGCGTGGATGTGATGATGCAGCAGTCGTTGATGTAGCGGCAATACATTAACGGCAATCGAGTACTGTGAGTACTAGCTCCTCAATCTTGCTCACGTAACAAATCGCGAAAACTGGGGCGAGTCTTTGACCCATCGCAAGCCCTCTAGTCTGAGATTAGTAATTCTCAGAGTACTTGAAGATGTTACAATTCAAACATTCCCTAATAAGGAGCAGTATGCATTCTTTGCTCAAGCCAAAGGTTATCATGGTGGAGTAATATTGTCTAACATCTCCGGTAAAGCTTGTAGAGCAGCATTGCTTTGAACATTGATGTACAGTGACGTTACGTCGAAAGACTCGAAAATACTACCACGTTCAAAACTTAAGCTCCGTAGCTGCTGTGCAAATTGTTGAGTGACAAATGTGCAGGCACTTTGGCTAAGAGCTGGCTTCCATTTGTTCAAAAACCAAGATAGTCGGTCAGTGGGTCCACTTACGCAGCTTATGATCATGCGAATTTTACAGGATTGTGGTGACATTTACTGTAACTCGTTTGCTGTTAAATTGTGAGTCGTGATTAAGTGGTAGAAGACTGGTAGTCTGTTGATCAACTTTCTATCAAGTCCGACAGACTTTCCCGCGCTTAGCTAAACGTTATTCAGTCTTCTGCACTGTGCCTGATATTCTTGTTTAGTAGCGGGTTGATAAATCGTACTGTCGGAAAGATGCACTCTAGCAATTTCTCGATCTAACGATTGGGGTATCACTACGAATTCTTGCCCTATCCTTATAGATATTCGGATTGACTTTTCTTCTACCAATTCACGCAATTCTCTGAAACTCTGCCATTGTTCTCGTGTCAACTTATGAACATTTCTTGTCACTAAAATTGCACTGTTTCTGATGTAGGATTCACCAATAACGTTAGAATATTCGCTTACGCACTACAAAAGAGCGTACGAAAGTAAAGCTTTATGCTAAGCTCAGGAAATCTGCCACCGATACATCAGAGTCTCTAGCCTGATACTGACGATTTTGACTCCCTGAATCTCGCGAAATCAATATGAAAGTTCATAACTTCGTTCACGGAGTGGCATAGCAAAGAATGAACATAGATGTAGATTCAGCGTCCCGAAACGCACCTACTGGTATACATCTCATTGCAAAAGGCCACGGTCTCCAGAAATGGCATTCGACATCTCATGCTCTGCACAGCAAAAAAACGTTGACCTAATGAAAAACAAGACGGCAGACATGCAAATTTTAACAATCACCACAGCGCTGCAAAGTCAACTCAGAAATGATATATAAGCGGAAACAAGTGAGCAGCGGAGGAGGAGGTCATGTGGTGTTATTTGCATGGTGCATAATTAGAATTGATGAAAAAAACTTGCGAAATTTCTTCAGACAAAAGAAAGCGACTTAGCATATCGCTCGCCGCTGGTGCCGAATTTGCGATGCGATTCCTCTCAGTCTCGGCGATGTCGTGGCGATATCACCATTAGAGGTATGCCCGTCAAAAAACTGCTTGCGATCGCTCCGATTTGCCTCTTTTACAAACTAACACGAAAGCGGCGGGACCTACTATCTTACATACTTGAGTGCGACGAGTCAGGAACACATGTCAGGTGCAGTAGTCGCGCATCGATCGGAACTGCGTGAGGTATGATGGCTTAGGCGCATCATTTTAACAGAAAACGAAAAGTCTGTCCCCATACTAGTCCGACATAATGGATGTAACTTATGTGCAACGTTTTTTCGTTGTTTCTTATCTACTGGGTTGTAACATAAACTTGTCTTTTGAATCTTCTTCAAGTTTTTCTTTAAGCTGTACTAGCTTTTGAGGTAAAATTGGCATTTGTGTACTATCGTACCATAGATGTATAGCTGCAGCTCCGATCAAAATTAGTATGTGCCCAAATGGATGGATCGCAACTTTGAGCTTCCACGACCCCCTGAAAGCAGAACGACAGCCAAGATCAGTGACGCTTTTGAGACAAGCGTAATTACTATCGCACCGCTTACGATGTGCAAATGCTTCGACAACAGCGAAGGAGCTTCGAAGGCAACGCATTTCGGTCGATCACTAACCTGGAATTTACGAGGCGAGCAACAGAAACATTTGAGCTAGTACACAGGATTAGAAATAACATTTGAGGCACACAGGAAGGGCTTTTTCGACTCCGTTATCACTGGAAAAGAACCGCGGGTGTACATATTTTCAAAGAAACTCCATTAATGCAGTAAACCAGACATACATCAACGCAAAATTCTTCTCAGAAGCTGGAGGTTTGCTATTATAGAAGCTATTACATCACGATCAGACGAGCGAAACAGCTCCAGAAGTTAGCTAATTTTCTAGTAGAAATTAGCTAACTTCTAGAAAAGTGGCCGAACGACAGATTAAACTTTTGAACAAACTTTTGAACGACAAGGCGTGGCTCACGCGGTGAAATCTTTCCGTGATTTTCTGAAGAAGCTTGGATGTACAGCAGTCCCATAGATCCTTTTAAACTTCTGTTCTTTTTTACTCACATCCTTACTTAGCAAAGGCATGCAATGCTCGCTCAGTAAATGGGTTACTGCCCACTTTGATAATGAAGGTGAAATCATTGACTAAATTATGAGAGGAATTGTGTTCACTTTTCACGATTATGATACAACCTAATATGTGGGAATTCCTTAAATAATTTTTTCTATATTAACCAACGAAAGATGTCCACACGCATGCATGTGGTCTTGGCAACGCGAAGCAACCCTTGCAAAAACAACTTCTATTAATTCATTCAATCATTGTATTACTTTTGGAGAGAAAATGTTCCGATAGAGACAGCACAACGGTTACTGTCTTTATGAAAAATGTTTTCTCATGATTCGACTAGCTGACGGACCCGGCTCCGCCCGGATTTGGCAATACGCTATGATAAAAGTCACCATCTCTTTCCTCTACAACATTTTCCTGCCCCGCCCACTTCTGCATGTCAAATCTTTATCCTGTTTTGTTTTCGTAATCACCATGCTCACTTACGCTTCTGTGCTTACTCTCAGCTTTGTGGCTCAAACATTGCAAAAAAAGGCGGAATCGATATAATCGATGTCGATCGATGACGGTAAGTAGTGCCTATAACATTCGTCCCGCCTCGAAGTGTTGATCCGTATCGATTCAGAAGTAGAATTTTCTATTTGGAACATACGTAAAGGCTACTGCATGACGAAGGCGCAGGAGCAGTATTAGCTGAGCAGGCGCGTACGCAGCGCGCGTATATTCACCGTTGTGAATCCTGCTCCTTATGCGCTCCGCGGCCAATAAAGCCGCCTTCGCTATCGAAGATTTTGGGCCTTCCTCATGCAGCAGCCTATACATATGTACAGACAAACGGACAGCACACCGACGCACAGACAGGCAGACAGACATACAGACAGACACCAGCGTTAGTATAATTTCAAAAATCTCCACAGGTAGTGTAATCATAAATTTCTGAGTTTTATAGAGTAATTGAGTGTCGCTTTTAATTCTACGTTTCACAGGATCATCTTGGGTTCCTTATGGGTATACAACGCGTACGGGGAAGTCATTTACGACAATTCCGATTCTGAAAATTATTGTGACAAGTCAACTATTCTACTCCCCTTTATCCTTTTAACAATTTTTTATTGTCTTGTGATAATTCTGTTTGTTGGCTTTGTACTGCTCGTGTTATTATGCTCTTTGTGTCATACACAGATGAGACGCTTATTCGTGAAAACTTGAATCTCGTAGCTTGTAAGCTTCCATCATTAATCTTCCGATTCAATTCGCATCGTAGGATGTAAAATGTATTGAAACGGTTTATTTACTAAATATAGGCACAAAATTTATAAGAGAAGTTTTGCTCTAACGATAAGTGCGACACTTGGGTACCAACTTCAACAGTGTAAGCAATGATGTCAGTTAAATACAAACCTTGATGGTGCTTTTATTACTTGTCAGGTAAATGATGTCGCATGTATTGCTTTAGAATCAACACCAACAAAAACGTTGCGATTCACCTATCATGCAGAGCCAAGATTCAGAATCTTTGGTTAACCAAAATAGCGTCACGTACCCGTTCATTTTCGCATCAAAACACACTCATAACTCGGTGTTCACGGGCGCGCAGCAGATAATGAGCATAGTTTTGAAGACTTTAGTACTTTACAGAGTGATAGAGCTCATCCGGAAAAACCTTCGATTAGGAACGTATTCCTCATAAGTGCATTAGATATCTATCTATAAACCTGTCGTCTTTGATCGCTGGAAAACGAGGAAAAATGATGTGTGTGTAAACACAAATGCAAAAGTTCCATACCTGGTTGTATACCATAATTGACAGTGACAATACTATGGTCCGAACTTTGCACAACAGAAATTTTGGTTCAGGTTTGACTGGTACTTAACAGTCATGTGGGTGTATAGTAATTCTTTTACAAGGCATACACTACATTTTTTGGTGATTACCCTACCATATTAGCATACAATGTGACATCATTTTCCGACTTTATCAGCATGCTCTTATTCATGTATTTGCTGTTCATATTTGTGTACTAAGCAAAGTTAGTATTGATCTATTTACCACGTGGATTGTGCAGTAATTGTATAAAAATGTGTAAATACCGTCTTGCGGTTTGAGTTATTAACATTCAGCGAACTTTGTAGGGAAGTTGAAGGCAGTGTCCAGGCTAAATCTAACCCTTTCCGATTAATGTTGATTCAATGAGAATCCAGCAGAGGGGCATATGCGTAGGTCTGGTCCTCTAATTTGTCTTTGAATCGAGGTAATAGACTTGAAACGTGAAACAGCGAAAGTGCCATCAAGCCACGCCCAGATCCTATTAAGCTTCTCCCAGCTACCGACTGCCTCCCGATATTGACATGATAGTGAGCAGAAGAAGCGGCTGGTGCAGCTGCACCCATGCAGTTGCAGTTCTCCCTGCTGGCATGCCGCGGGGAGTATTCCGAAATTCGTCCTCGGTCTCAAGAGTTTCCTCGGGAATCGCGGGTTTAGTAGAGGGGGTCTGGGGCTTTTTGACTGTACTGATGAACAGAGCCGCGGAGAAGTCATAATGATAAAGAGATTAAAGGCAAAATTTTGGGTGTACGCTGCCTTTAAGTTTGGCGTAGTACGCGTCATCTTTTTTTCGATGTAGCAAGAGATACTGCTTCGGAAGTCGAGCGCCAGTTCTCCTCATCTTTGACGCGTTTTTGGACCATTACGAAGACGTCCATGGCTCGATACGAAGGCAGCTGTCAAGAAAGGAGGAAGCATCTTCCACACTACTGACACTTTTGACGATATCGAACAAAAATCTTCATAAGCAGGCTCTTTATATTATATTAGGTTGTTGCAAAAATAATGTCCGTTTTTCTAGGCCTATTTTCCGAACAACTTTTTTCCTTCATAGTTTCTTTTCGATATAGATTCTACATATCATTGGAAAGCTTTCTTCATGTACTTTCTAATAGTCGTGAAACTAAGCTTCTATCTCATCTGTGAGACTTTCACCAGCATCTCAAACAGCTACACTCAAAATCGAAAATTCTTTTCTTTAACTCCGTTGGCCACAATTCAGACGCAAATGAACGGGTTCTTTTGAAAACATAGGTACTGTATTGATTGGACATTGTTTACCTATAGCATATTTGAATAGATTTTTTCAAAATATCTGAACCGAGAAATCGACGCTCCAAAATAGATACTCGCTGCTGGCATTCTATGGGTCCAAAGTTTCTCATAAGTAGGGCAATCGCCGAAGCTTCGCCCATTTCTGTATGCCTGAGGTCAGAACATCCTTCTCACAATTTTAGCAGAAAAGCTTAGCTACTCAGTGTATAAAGAATTTCAAATTTCCATACTTTGGGACTTTCTGGCCTTCCACAAATAGGCTTGAAAAAGTGAACAAATTTGAATTTCTATCTTTTCTGTTCGCCGGATTCCTTCATTGAAGTCTCTTCTAAGCAGAAGTATACTACTGGCTTGTGTCTACAAAATAAGCTAATTAGCAGCCAAAGGAACAAAACTCGAAGGGAGTTGTAGTCTTACGAAGACGAGGTTTTTAAAAGAAAGACTTTCGGTTTTTTGACGCATGGTTTTCTTCCCGTTTGTGATATCAGTATATGCAGTTGCGCATCGGGTTAAGAAAGGTTTACTGCTTCATATGGTTTTGATTGCATTCAAAAAAAATGAAGACTGGACAAAGTTATAGCCTATCAAAGTGAAATTTTGCAAAACGGACATTATTTTTGCAACAACCTAATAATAATTCAGATAAACGATTTGCTTGTGGCGCCCAGGTAACGTGACATCAACTTTGGTGCAAAGGCGAGAAAAAGAACAATGTGAACAAAACAGTAGAAATTACCAAAACTTTTTCAAGAGATTATTTTGAACTTCTTTAGTTTCCTTCACTGAGAGAAACGATCCCACTGCAACGAACAAATAACGATGTGGCACATATCGCGCATGTTTCTTCAAGAATGACGTTTTGTTCAAAGGCACTAGAATTGTTTTAATGCGGTGTACGGATTTTCATAGATTTCATTAGACCTCTTTATTGAACCAAGGCCCAAAGGCCTAAAGCGTTTTTTGATGTGCATCGCTTTACGGTCAAAGCTAAGACAGCTGGAACAGCCGTCTGTATTACTTTACGGGGGCTGCAAAATCGAGGTTGCCGGGGTTTTACGCGTATGAGCCCATATAGGGTTTTACAAGGTTGAGAAGGCTTGTAGTTTGCAAAAATCCCGACATCCGAGATCTGGCGACATACTGCCCTCAAGATTTGGATCGCCTCATAAGTCTTCCGACTTCGCCTTCTCTTGTTATAACTCATTTTTGTCTTGCTTTTCATTAGGTTTTATGGTGAAACGATAAAGCAAAGCAAGCATAAGATAGAATTTGAATGCTTGCAGTTCGTTCCTGAAGTCTTGACACAAGTATAAATACGAGTTTTAAGCCGTCTACAAATATTTAGAGAAAAATTTGATTTTGTGCAAAAACATTTCCAAAGAAGGAAACTTCACTGCTTCCTGGCCAATTGGACCAATCCGTGTTTTTCGATCTAAGAAATAGAAAAAGTTCAATAAATGTACGTATGAATTTCATTATGGAGAAAATGCCCAAGCAACTTATTAAAAGTCCGTAGGATTTCTTTGAACGGAGGTATTGATTCTATGCGATTTTTAAGCATTTTGATCTTTTCGGGTTTTTGGCTTGTAAATCCAATAAAACATACACTGTACATATATCTAGGATCTGTCTTGTAAAGCTTGCTTTGCTCTATCGTGGGATCCGTAAAACTTATTTAGGGAGCAAAAGACTGTGACTCGTTGCAAGAGAAAGTGAAAACCAAAAAGATTTATAGGACAATTAAGACATAATCTTTACATACACACCATAGCACTATACCACATTAAGGGCCGCATGCACTAACATCCCCGCGGGGAGGGGATCGCAGCTCGAAAGAAAGTTTTATATTATACCATCAATACATAGAGCCACGTACTCTGGTAACTTTCACTTTGGGGGCTATGAGGAAACACAAACTTCACCTGAAAAAAAAAACAGAAGTCATCCGAAGTTTCGCCCTAGATGTTTTGTCCTGACTTTATCGGAACGTATGTTAATGAAGCAAATTTTTATTTTTTATTTTTTATTTACAATACACTCAATAGGTGTGAAAGAAACAAAAAAAACGGCAGGCAAGGCTGGTTAAAGACTAGACTTCAGCATCTTGCTGTCTCAATGGTGTCAACGAGCCTACGGGCGGAGGCTAGCTGACTTGGCCCCGAGAAGGAATAGGCTGGGAGAAGGCAAGATATGGCTGAGGTACTAGGCATGAAGATAATAATTGATAATGATGACTTTTGAAAAGACCTGAGGTAAGGCAAGGGGCGGTGAGATGAAGATACAGTTCCCTTGATGTACGAGGAGTTGAAAAAACTAATCACGGTAAAGCACTGCAGCAACAAAGGCACTCTCAGGAACATTAATGGGGGAAAAGAAGTATCATAGATGGCAGTAATAACAGGCAGAAACACGGTACATCCGAACCGAAGCGATGCATCAGTCAGGAAGGCGACGATAGGACACTCCTGCGAAAGCCAAGCTCTGAAGAAGGAATGGAAGCCATGGCAAACATAACAGCAACTGATTACAACTATAAGGCCGAGGGACATCGGGTTGGAAGCAGTCATCTAAAAATCCGATATTCAGAATCGTTATACATCAACATTTTGCAGTCTTCTATGAAAGATGGCAGAGTTTTTACTTCAAGTTCATCTGGTAAGGATGATAACCATCTTGAAGTGCGCCAAACAAATGAGTTGAACGTGATCGAAAGTTTCTTTGTGCCTAATTTGCGATAATATAGATTAAAGTTACCTACTCGTTGATTACATGGTCTAAACACCCAGTACTTACTGGCCCGGAGTCTGGTCTCCAAATGCAATATGCGAAATCCCAAAACCAGATCATTTATGATACGCCTGTACTTTAGACTATGAAGCTGAAGGAAATTGAGTCGTGATCGATACGATGGCAGACTCCGGGGATGACTTGAATCGGGGTAACACCTGTAGAAGAGGATTCTCGTAAAAGTTTTCTGAATTTTTTTTCTTTTTTTTCAAGTTTTTCAATATTTCTTTTCAAAAAAGGGCTCCATACCGGAGATGCGTATTCAAGATGTGGCAGTACGTAGCTTTTGTATAAAGTCAGAAAAATCTTTGGATCATTACTTTGTATATTACGGAAGATTGTAAAAAGAGCTGAGGAAGATTTTTTGACAATCAAGTCAATATGGATGGAAAAATTGAGTGTGTTACTGATAATCATGCCAAGGTCTCGTACGAGGTTGGAGGACTCAAAATCGACACCATCATAATTGTAAGTGTGGAAAGAGGATTCACCTAATTGCATAACAGTAGTCTTGGAAGGGTTTACAGGAATATTCCAATCTTTAGCCATGATATCATTGTTTGAATAGAAGATGAGAGTGCATCAAAAGCAGCATGTTGTTGACTAGGGTCGAGTAGTAATATACTTTAATATCATCCGCAAACATTTGTACTTTGATGTCAGGATGGGTTTCCAAAAGAGTAGGGAGTTCGGCAACGTAAATTAGGAATAGTAGAGGAGAAAGAACGCCTCCCTGAGGGAAAGCACTACTACAACAGTACCGACAAAGTACACCGTCCCGACACGAACTGTCATATCTCTTTCGCTAAGATATGATTTTAACCAAGAAAGAAGAGGCCCTATGATGCCGTAGTTCTCAAGTTAAAAAGGAGTTTACTGTGGTCTACCTTGTCAAATGCTTTAGATAGATCAAAGTAAATTATGTCTACAGCTTGACCTTTATTGAGAGCTGTAGTCCAGTCAAAAAGGGAGTCGGTAAGTAAGGTTGTGGTAGAGCATCCGGGAAGAAATCCGTGTTGTTCAGGTGGAAGAACATGGTTTTTATCCAACCAATCAAAGAGCTTTTTACAGATGACTCTTTCAAGAACTTTGCCAGCAGAAGGCATGATACTAATAGGGCGAAAATTTGACAAAGCATTGCTAGATTCTTTTTTGGGGATTGCAGTGACAAGAGCTTCTTTCCAGATTTGAGGCCACAACTCCCTCTGAGAGCGACATGTTGAAAATATATGAAAGTGGTATGCAAAGTGTTTGTGCACAGTTCTTAAAGATGATCTGTGGAATACCGTCGAATGTGGGAGTTGTGTTGGGCTTCAGACTTTTCAGTGTACTGAACACTGTATCAGGATTGACGCGTAAATTATCTATAGATTCAGAGATGCGAGCCATTGCCCAAGGCATGCTCACTGCGCGGTTGTCATCATCAGCCTTTTCAAATACATTGGCAAAAAATCGCCCCAGCGCATGCGCCTTCCCCTAGTCGTCTCCAAAAAAGGTACCAGATTCGTCAATTAGGGTAGGAAGTCGTCTCGTATTGCCTTTTGCTCTACATTTGAAATACCTATACAACTCTTTGGTTCCTCTTTTTGCAAGCAGATGTTCATGGTTTCGTAAAAAAATTTTCAAATGATGATTCAGGTCAGAACAAGTTTTTTTGTACAAGTTATGACTTGATTTGGGAGTGATGAAAATAGCCGCAGCTTTTGTTCAATCAAGTTGCGAATGTGATTGGGATAAGTGAGAGAAGGAACTTTTTTGAATTCAAGAGGTACGATATTGGCAAGCACAATGTATAAGGCAACACAAAATTGACGATAAAGATCGTCAATAGACGAGAATCCTGAAAGAATGTTTGGCCAATCAAGGTCAAGAGCTTCATTCCGTTTTGAATAATCAGTTTTGAAAAAAATTAGGAAATGGCAAAAATAAAGATTCGGAGAACTGGAAATTGACGTGGAAAGCAATAACATTATGATCTGTAGAACCGAAAGGTGGAAGAGTGTGAAGATTGCTGACAGAATCGCTAGATGAATAAACTAGATCAATGGCAGAATCATATCTGGTTGGCAGAGTTATATTTTGCTTAAAGTCAAGGTTGCGGAAGAAAGCGAGGAAACGCCTATCTTGTGGGTTCCTACCAGGAGAGCTCACATCAGAATTGAAGTCTCCGAAAACTATGGTGCCAACGGGAAAGGAGCACAACTCTTTAATAGTAGTGCTCAAGGCATCATCATCTGCTGCTGTTGAGGAAGGTGGTCTATAGACAATTATAAATCTCTTAGGTGCAGGCGAAACGGTACAGTACAGATCCAAACAAAGAACGTCTGATTTAAGTTTGCGGCCATGTTTTAGGCGTTGGACTGCAAAATCCATCCTAACACAGCAGCAGACTCCGCCACCTCTATTTTTTATTCGATCACATCGATGTATAGAGTAAGGCAAATCAATGATAAGTTCGGAATCAGAAATTTTAGGTTGTAACCAAGATTCAGTAATGCAAAGAATATCGGGGGAATGTATATGTAGAAAGGCGTGAAGGAGATGCGTTTTATTTACTACGCTACATGAGTTAAATAAAAAGCAAGCAATAATCTTTGAATCCTGGGCTGCCTACACGTTTCCCTGGATGGGACGTTTTGGCAGGTCTGAAATATGCTTGAGCTCTCCCCGATAAATTACCCACTCTTTTATTGCCCTTCCCCTATTTCTCTCGCGTGCCTCCCTACGCAACTCCGAATCGTGTTCCCTTTCACCAGGAGTCATGCTCTTCCTTATGAAGATGTGTGACAGAGGGGATTGACGTAATAGATATGAGCTAGACAGGGCTTGCGCCTAATAGAAAAGCGATGGAAATACAATTTTTACGAGTCGTGGCCGATCATCAGTGGGTCTACCCATACGGTAGACCTCGGTGGGCCCCACATCGATTTGCAGGGTTTCAAAACGCAACCCCCTCCTCAAGGTGACGCTTCGACGTTGACGAATATAGGGAATAATATCTTTAGCTTATTTCAGCGAAACGAGTTAGCGTTTTCATACCCTTTTTACGTTAAAAAGAAGGTTTCTGTGGAATTCGCCAGAATTGAGGACAAAATTTCCAGTGTTAACCTCTCATTTGACCAAAATAGAGTTTCAAAAGTTTGGAAAAGCTATTGGAGTTAAATAAAAATGAAAACTGCGCTTAATTCTTGCGCAGAGAATCGCGCACGAAAACGCTGGTCTATCTCGTTAATGAGTGATTTTCAGAGCTTGGGACGTTGTCAGTTCTCCTTGTCGTGCCATGACGATCAGAATGATACATAATGTTACAGCCTTTCGTTGAGACCCAGCGGAGATCTATGACCAGAGCCAAATGCCCCGTCGACTCTGGTCTGTCTTCGCTGCTCGTCTGCGTCTCCGCGCGTTGCGCGCTACCTCGCTACCCCAAACGCGGGGCGCGGGGTATTTGGCTCTGGTCCCTTTTCTTCGTTGTTTCGCACCAAGTTATAGCAAGCTATATACCATTTTGAAGCTCTTGATCTCTATTTTCACACTGACTACGTCCCAAATCTACATTTTTTGATTTGATTGAGAAATCCGGCAAAAACCTTGTTTTTGAAAATCTCTTGTTTTTTTCCTAGTTTAACTCTTTTCACGCGGTTTTTTCGTGCATTCTATAGATCTTGCTTCTGTTCATAAAGCTGACAACCACCCGCCCCTTAACTCTTCGATCATGGTAGAATTTTTTGCGAAAAATCGTAAAAAGTGCGTTTTTCTTCACCTTGTTCTGTTTCAGTGCTTTCGCATCGATTTTTTTGCAGCTTGGGCGATTGTTGCTCAGAACAATGAGCGCAACAATCCAGACAACGTCCCAGAAAACAGGAACGTCAATGCGGGAAGGAAATTCAAAGGACGCATCAAAGATCAAAACCCCGTGTTGCGAATTGTCCGGGAGCGGAAACTTGCACTTTGAAGAGCCGCCAAATGAAAGATTTCAGACCTTATTGCAGCGTTTTTATCCGGTTTACAGCAGTTTCTTTTGCTTTTTATATTTGTTTTACGTCATTTTCTCCTCTCTGATCTTCTTTAAACAACCTTCACTATTTATGACGTCAAATGTTCAAACAACCTTCACTTTTGGCTGTCTCTAGACTATCGAAGGTATGCTTCATATCCTGAATATCAGATATCTGGAGTTCATGTAGTGTACGTAACCGTAAGTATTCCTATTATCCTTCACTATGAACATATTAAACGGCAGCGAGAAGCTGTACAAGCGCTATCCGGCAACGATTACGGCATTTTCCCACGCTTGCCGCAATCGCCGCTGGACCTCTCCTCGTCTTGGCGGGTTGCCAGCAAAAAGGCTATATATAGTATCCGGTATCCGGCGACGCGTAGCGGATCTGTATAGGTGAAGCGTCGGGAGCATATTTCCTTTTTATGTGCATAGTCGTGCGCATCGGTAGCACGGGATTGGGCACCCTGTCTCGTGTTGGGGTTTTTCTTTATTTGTAGTTTAGTATTGTAGCGTAGCGTTTGTTTGTTTCTTTTTATGTCATAAGGATAAAATGTTAGTAATTTGCTAATGTTTCGTACGCGCTAGGGCAATATGCTAAGCTAGGATGCGTCGTATATTTTGAGCGGGCGAGCGTGCGGATGTCTCGGGTAATTCTAGGTGCTTAGGGCCCACCGAGCCGCCACACGCTTGATGTTCTACGGTTTGAGTTGACCAAGAATGGAAATTGGTAGCATCAATTAAAATTCTGTTAAAAAATTTTGAGGACTTTTGTGAAGGAGAAAGAAATGGTTTTGTATCCTATAGTGTTTGCTCTATCGAATCGTTATTTGGACTCCTTCGGAGGATTGATGTACAAATTTAAAAAAATTGTGAAACTTGAGCATCTCAAAAAGAGCGGGTCGCAGACTTTCGTAATTTTTCGAAAGCTCGTCGACAATGTTGCATTATTTTCATAAGCTTTAGAAAGAGGATAAAATTCTGCGTCAAATGCTACTAAGATCTCTTAGAAATCTTTGTTCCATCACATGTGGTGTCCGCATGAAAAAATTGAAATTACTTTCAGAATGACCTAATAGATCACGTTTATGCTGAAGGTTTTGGAGCACAAGTCTCTAGCAAACATTACGCCTAGTTTAGAAAAAACTTCTCCTTCTGGCCGCAATTACGGTAGTAGAGCAAGCAGGTAAAGTTCCATATTTGTTTCTCTGTCCTTTGAAGGGAAAGAACCACAAAATGAGCTTCATGTAAACGAGATTTTGTATAAAAAAACGAAGAAAAGAGAAAAACTTAAAGGAAACAATTACAAAAAATAGCTTATTCCTTTAAAATCAACAGCTCAAAAAGACCTATCAATATGTCCAGAACTTTGGAGAACACCCACTAGTAACAATTTAGAGAGAAAAATAACGTAGCTTTTTTCTTGACCAAGACTGGTTTCTTTGAAGATGTATGGATAAGATCATAATTTTATGAGTGTTTTAGCACCCAATCGCTTGTTTGAGGAAGCGTCGATAGATGGAAAAGTTATCAATTTTTTGTTTATCCTTTCTCCTCTTGTTTCTGGCCACGAAATGGATACAAGTGTTCAAAAGCATGTGCCCATTACCTGTAGCAGCAAGTGAGATGTTTGCAGAAGTTTTCGGGCGGAACGAGTCTGTTCGCACAGTCCTTCTTCCGCACCGAACTTCATTGATCGCCTAGGTAAGGGCCTATCATCACCTTGCTCCAGAATGTCCTCTTCCTAATCTCTCTCCCTCCCCCCCCTTCTCTCTCTCTTGGTAGACGTGCTTCCAGTTACTATTGTTATATCTGCTATGCGAAGCCATTGCAGCAGCCTGTGATATTTCTTCTAATCTTTCAGGATTGTGGATCTTAAAAATAGACTGCGTTCCATATTAATAGATTTTCTTGATGCGTGTTGCGCTGATTGCAGTCACATAATATTTTTCAAAACCATTTTTTTTTTGTAAACCACCTGCGGCGTTGTACTGTTACTCAGCATAAGAGCACATTCTTCTTCATTGTAAATCTGGCTGGCCGTTGTTTCAATAATCACAATCGAAATTTACCTTTTAGGTTATCTAAAAGAGAACCCTTTTGTGAAGGAGTTTTCTCTTTTTCGATACTTTTGCTTAGCGTTATTAGCAGCCAAGAATATTTGTTCTGAAGGTAACGCTTCCAATGGCATTCCTCGACGATTCTAATGACATTCTTAATTTATCTTGTTATCAATGTCTGTTCTCTGATCCTGTGGTAGTGTCAATAAAAACTGCTTAGATTTGCTTGTTAGATAATCACTGTATAGGAAAACAGTTATAGATAAGTAAGAAGGTTTTTCGTAGCTTACTGAATTACACTCACGCTATTTGGGCATCGCTGTCATTGTTCTGACCTCAGAATTTTAAGTGACACCTCTGCTCGTGATCATAAGATCTGTTTACATGTTTTTTCCACTTTTCTTTTTTTATAGCTTACAGGGCAAAAAAGTGGTGACCGGGGCCTTTTGGGATCTGCAATCGTTCCGCAAATCACGGAAATTTGAGATCAGCGTTCCCAGAAAATTGTCATGACATAAGTTATATATCGAAAGTATTCCCGTTAGTAGTGACATATGACGCGCCTTTTACATGAACATTATTGATGTAATTTAAGATAGTTAATGGTTGACACCAATTCAAGTTTGTTATGAAATTGATTAAGCAGCTTACTTGAAATTGTTGAAGCAAACAAGGACACTTGTGCTCCATTCTTATTGATATACTTACTTAGTTAGATACTTAGATGGCCCATCCTTACGTAACGTGTGGGCCCCAGTACAGAAGTTGCCATTTTTCCCTGTCCCTCGCTTCAGACATCCACGACCTTCTTGGCCGTCGTCGGTGGCTGCGTCCACGAGTTCCAGGGGTTAAAGTCGTATCCAGCTGATTTCTCAGCTGGTCCATCCGTTCCACGAAGTCTGCCCATCTCGTTGGTGGTCTTCCTCGAGGACGTTTGGCTTCGCGAGGAATCCACTCAGATGTTCTTAGTGTCCATCTGTCGTCTGTTCTTCCCATTATGTGACCGGCCCATCGGTGTTTGGCCTTCGCAACGTATTCCGCTGGTTCACGAAGACGGGACATTCTTCTCATATCCGTGCTGCGAAGTCCGACTAGATGTTGCTTGCGTCGGGTCATTTTCAGAAGACTGTGCTCGAGCGCTCTGTGGGTGGTCCGTAAAGCTTTCGATGTGGCTACAGTATCGGCCCAAGTCTAAGTTGCGTAACAGAGCGACAGGAGAACGGTTGAGTCGAACAGGTGGACACGAAGCTCCGGGTCCGTCAGTTGGTCGGTGGCTTCCTTCAGAGGCCCGAAGGCGGCCCAGGCTTCTCTTTTTCTCCTATTAAGTTCTTCCCTCAAATCGTTCTCCATAGATGAAAACGAAGTGTCAATATAGCCTTTAAAGATAGAAAAGGAAAGGGAAAGAGAAAGAGGATATACAAAGAAAAGACAACCTATAAATTTTTTGCGCATACTGGTTTCGGGGCTAAGAACTAGACCAGATATGCGACCTTTCTTGGTGCCCCCGTGTCGAAACACTTTCATCAGTGGTTCCCAAGGAAGTGTCCAAAACATAAGTTATGTGAAGGCATGAGAGATATGATGAAACGTAGTAAAGAGATTTTGAAGCAAACATATCTTACTGTTATCAGATGTACTTTCGAAGATTCATTCTATTTGAATGAATTATTTCCCGCCATTAAAATCTTAGTTGGTAATGAGCCACGCATTCCGCACCTCATGCACAAGAGGCAAATGCACACTAGTACTAAATCCATATTTACGTAAAATAAAAGGTCTATTTTGAAAGATAAGATATAATGCTCTAATCAAATTATTTCTTTCCCAGCCATTTCTTGCTGAAGTCATTCCTATTTCAAAAATTCTCTTTTTCAAATCCAGAAAATCAGAGCAGTTTCTATAGATTCTAACTATCTCGGATGCAAGTGTATTGAATATGATAGATCTTGGTATATTGGACGTCCAATTTGGATATATAGTAACGTTGAAGTTGTAATTATCGGTTTTATTATACATAGAAAACTTAATGCTACTTTCTCTAAGGGAAATAGTAAGATCCAAAGAATTCGTTTCTAAGTCTTTGCAAGCTGTTGTTTCGATTTCTAAAGAAGGATGATATATTTCTTTGAGTTTATTCGTAAACAAAGATACGTCGTAGGACATATGTAGTATGTCGTCAATGTACCTAAATGTGTAGTTACATACGAATATGTTACTGTTTCTATCCGTCATCTGTTTTCTGATAAAAGAATATTCCATTTATGCTAAAGTAAGATCTGCTATTTGTGGACTACAGGACGCCCCTTGTGGTATTCCCCTAACTTGCTTGTACACCTTTCCTGCAAAATATACATAGCTATATTCCAATAATACATCTAACATGTATAATATGTCCTCTACTTGGTAATATCTACCTTTACCTTTCGTTTCATTGGAGTATTCAACCTTGCCGTTGTAAAGCTTGACGAACTTATATCCTTTCATACATAATAGAATAAGTTTTTTGAGGCTGGTCCTTACGACATTATGAGGTAGATTAGTGAATAGACTAGAAAAATCTGCCGAATAGATTTCCAAATGACTAGTGTTACTAGTAGGTTCCTGTATGACTTGTCTATTGTTATCAATCGCCCAAAAGTGCTTAACGTTGGTTCTTAGCTTAATGACGTTACAGTAGTTACGGAAATGTTTACGAAAGTGAGATAGCATTAACTGTAGGATATTTGTCAATGGTTTAAAATACTTCTTTTCGCTCCAGTTATAAATCTAAACTTGATAGGATCTTTATGCATTTTAAGAATTCCATATATCCTTGGTATTTCTATGTAATCATGTCTGTTTTTAATGCCCAACCCGTTCAATTTGTTACATTGTATCCTCTCTACTTCTTCTAAATCAAATGGTGTTTGTACGTATGTACACCCGCTCCTATTCTTTCCATTTCTTGTTTTAGCATATGCATGTAAAGTTTCTTGCATATTACACAAAAATTAGAACTGGCTTTGTCTACAGGGGTAATAACAAAGTGTTATGAATAGAAGATAAGCTACTATAGTTATAGTCATCTCCTTCTATTAGTTTACTATTGTATAATGAAAATAATTTCGGTTTGAGGCGCTTTTTAACATATCTTCCTACCTCTAACAAGAGAGTGTTAGCAGTCGTAGTATTAACTTTTGTTAGAATGACTATTTTCGCAACTATATTACTTACTAACTCATCTACTACTAAATTAACGTCATTTTTTGAAATTCTATAATGAAGTCTATACATAGTACCTTTTCTAAGTAATTTTTTGAGCTTAGTGTCTTCTATTCAAGATTACCCGTACATATGTGCTTCAGATTACTATCAATAAATGCTGGGTACCTGTCACACACGCATGGATTATTTTCTAGGTCTCTTAGTATCTAATTTTTTTTCAAAAAGCTATTATAATTGCATATTTGTACTCCTATAGGTTTATCCAATTTATACCTAATAACAAACTGGGCTTTATCAACTACATCTGTTCGTTGTGTATGTTGGGTTAGGATTCGCTTGACCGTGTTACAATTGCATATTCTACGAAGATTCAGTTTTTCTATAATCTCACCTAGATAAGGTATAGTAATGGCCAGATGTATACTATTATTTCTTTCTTTAATGTCTCTATTCCAAAAAGGATGCGCTAGAAAGGCTAGTATTTTATACATGTGCTCAAATTGCAAGTTTTGGAATGTGGAGGAACAGCTGCATCGCCGTTGTACAGTCCTTGTAACAGTCGGCTAACGTCCTCACGTAAGCTGGGTCCACTCTTTGATCGACTAGCGCAGACAGGATGGCGTTGGTCTCGACGTTGTCAAAGACTTTCTCGTAGTCGACGAAGGTTAGGACGAGAGGCAGTCGGTATTCCTGGTAGATATAACCCTCGAAACCGTCTTGATGTGGTCCATGCAGCTGAATCCTTTGCGAAATCCAGCTTGTTCTTGGGGTTGGGCTTCATTCAGTGTCCTAGATATGCGAGCGAGGATAATCTTCGTGAAAAACTTGTAAAGCACACTCAGCAGGCATATTGGACGGTAGTTCCGAAGATTTAACCGTTTATCCTTCTTGAAAAGAAGGACGGTTCTTGATGTTCTCCACTGGTTGGAAATCCTTTCCTTCTAAAGGTAAGATGTTAGGTGCGACGCGAGAATCTCATGCAGACGTTGTCCTCCAGCTCGCAGAAATTCGACGGAAAGATGGTCTGGTCCTGGAGCCGTGGACATCTTCACGGTTTGAATCGCTGTGCGCACTTCAGCAGGTAGAATTCGTGGTGGTACTTCTCCAGTGGGAACAACGGGCATCGGCACGGGTGTTGATGAGCAGAAGAGGTTGTTATAGAAGTTCTTCGCGATAGATTCCATCAGTATCGGGAAGATGTTCTACAAGTTCTACAAGTTCTACATCTGAGTGGATTCCTCGCCAAGCCAAACGTCCTCGAGGAAGACCACCAACGAGATGGGCGACGTGTTCGTGGAACGGATGGACCAGCTGAGAAATCAGCTGGATACGACTTTCGCTCCTGGAACTCGTGGACGCAGCCACCGACGACGGCCAAGAAGGTCGTGGATGTCTGAAGCGAGGGACAGGGAAAAATGGCAACTTCTGTACTGGGGCCCACACGTCACGTGAGGACGGGCCATCTAAGTATCTAAGTAAGTAAGTATATCAATAAGAATGGAGCACAAGTGTCCTTGTTTGCTTCAACAATTTCAAGTAAGCTGCTTAATCAATTTCATAACAAACTTGAATTGGTCTCAACCATTAACTATCTTGAATTACATCAATAATGTTCATGTAAAAAGCAGAATAGGTTTCAACCATTAGCTATCTTAAATTACATCAATAATGTTCATGTAAAAGGCACGTCATATGTCACTACTAACGGGAATACTTTCGATATATAACTTATGTCATGACAATTTTCTGGGAACGCTGATCTCAAATTTCCGTGCTATACAGTGATTATCTAACAAGCAAATCTAAGCAGTTTTTATTGACACTACCACAGGATCAGAGGACGTGATAACGAAATAAATTAAAAATGTCATTAGAATCGTCGAGGAATGCCATTGGAAGCGTTACCTTCAGAACAAATAATCTTGGCTGCTAATAATGCTAACAAGGGAATGGTCAAAAATCGAAGTGGCCATTTCAGACAAGCTGCATACCGTTAGATGCAGCATGAAGCGCTGACTCTAAATCTGTCTTCCTTACCTGCTTATCGCTTTTCTGGACGAAGCTATAAGCCATTAAAGACCATTATTTTGCTAAGAAATTATGCGTGAAATTGAAAATTTACCCGTATAGAGCCACGTTCGCCTCAATGCTGGGCCAAAACATGCAGCTAGCTTACCTAAAATTTTTGAAGCCAGAAGTTGAGCTAAAAGCGCAATAATGTGCTCAATTTCGCTGTTTTTATGTATGATTTTTTCACAATAAAACCCCTTGTAGCTTCGTCCACAGAAGCGGGAAGCAGATAAGGAAGACAGATTCGAAGTCAGCGTTTTATACTGCATCGAATGATATACAGCTTCTCTAGTTTGGCCACTTCGACTTCTGACCATTCCCTTGTAAGCAATAAAGTATTGGAAAAGAGAAAACTCCTTCACAAAAGGGTTCTCTTTTAGATAACCTAAAAGGTAAATTTTGATTGTGATTATTGAAACAACGGTCAGCCCGCCCTCCGAAAAATCAGCGTATTGATTGGCCTGGATAGATAAAATTGTCTTTGATCGGAGTTTTGTCGAGCTATTGCCACTGAAAAGAACAGCGATGCTTGATATAGAAAGAAACACAGTATCAACCAATCGTTCTGAATAAACATAGTTTCTTTTTTGTAACTCTGCTTTTGGAACTGAACAGAATCTAAAGATAAGGCAATAGCTGTTATAAGAATATCGTGGAATTATATTAATGATGAACGATGTTATCAACTATGTTCTACAAGTCTTCTATTTGGTCATCACATAGAAGACACGTAGTAACGTTCATTTGTATACTTGCTGTAATTTTTTGTCACTTACTTAAAAAAACGAAAATCAATCTGAAATCTCCGCCTCTAGCTCCGCTCCTTCCCCCCATTTCAGCTATTGTGTACCCCAAAACCCCGAAGCATGGCTGTGAAATTTCAGCCTGGTATCTGCATTGATGTTTGAGAAGAATCACTTTTAGCTGCATTAACCCGTAGTCCACGGCTATTATTTTAGCATCAACCTAATACAATTTCTCCTAGCTAACTCGAATATAGTTTGAATAGATCTTCCGGCTTGCTTGCTAAAAAATGGTAGAATGATACAATGATAAATGATGGAGGCTTCTTCCTTTTGACCACATGGGTAGCCTTTTCCTTTTTTGTTTGAATCAAAAATTTCGCCAATGCTTGAAGCTACGATAAAATTACTATCCATTATTATTTCGTTAATGTATGAAAAAACTGGCAACCAAAACGTAAGGACTTTCAGCGACTTTTTTAGCTCTTTGCTAATTGGACTTTCCACATTTTTTTTATTGATTACTCATTCTAACTTTTGATTTGAAGCTTTTTTTGTTTTACCTCGAATGAATGCACTTTAGACGACGCGAACTTTGATTTTCTGTTCCATTCAAACAAACATTTTGAGCTGAGGCAGGAAGACTAGAGATACAGAGTACTAGATAAGATGTATGTGAATCATGAATAGCGTCAGCACGATTCCTAAAAAAAGGCACACTATGTGCCAGTACAAATTCACTGTCATTCACTGTCACCGGAAGCCCTTTTGTATGTTCTCCTTTTATTCATTCTCTCCTATGCTCCTATTAGTTTTCTTCCGTGCATTCACAAACCTAGTCGTTTCCTCACTGTAACATCTCATTCAATACATTGTAATATTTTTTCGAACCCAGTAGATGTAAAATCTTCATCATTTGAGTATTTGCAGGGAGTAGCATTCTATGAAACCAAATGTATGCTAATTTCTGAAATTTCTGATTATGTTTTATACATGCAACCATTGCAACGAGCATAAAATTTAATACACACTAGTAAACAAGTGTGTTGGATATAAATCAAATGCGGTCTTTCCCAATTATGAAACAAGCTAGCCACACATACTCACAAATGTAGCTGCTTGCTTCGTGTCCTTCGTTTACTGCATCAGTTGAGAGGATTGTTTTGAGAAGGAAAGTACTCTCTCTTATCAACGTCCGCTAAGAAAAGTTTGATGAAAGTACAAGGCTATGATTCTGCGTCAGAGCGCATATGGCTGTGATTTCAGTTCAAAGCTGCTTACCCTCAATAATCATTAAGCTAGCTAACTGAAATCAATCTAAAAGAATCTGCAAATATGAAAGAGTAGAGCTTTTTCGTCTCTTGGCGTACAAAATGGCATAAAAAGATGTCATAACAACTCTTATCTTATTTCCCGAAAACATAAAACTTCGTGGCAGTGAGCTACAGAATTCACGAGTATAGACATAAATCTTTTAGCAGTAATCTATAGAATTTACGAGTATAAAGTTCACGAGGTTCCCTTATTTTTGACATAAGGTTACATCGCTCCTTCACCTGATGATGCTACATAGATAGTCAATGTCTGAGTTGTTTCAAACTATGGTCAACGCTGCTCATTCTAATGCTAAGTTGTAAGATGACAATTGAGGTCCGATTAGTCGAAGACTCCAAATCTGATTCCATTAGCGCCCAGCGGCTGTGCATGCCGAGTTGTAGATATTTTTTGATGAGAAAACGCATAGTCTAGGTAAAATCAAATGGTACGGTCTTTTCAGTGCTCAAATAGAGCAGGGTCATGTTTGAGTGCTTTGAGCAGAAGGTATCTTTAAGTAGAGTGCTCCGCAATCAACGTTGGACCATCTAAACAATTCTGACAAATTATTTTCTAATTACGCATTCTAATTATCAACTCAATGAACGTTAGTAACTCGACGTCCAGAGTTTGGCAGATAACAGAGCCAGATTTGAAGTTAACGTGCAATGCTCTTTATAATTGTATCAGTTTTACGTGAAAAGGCCACTTTTACCGAACGGACCTCCCTTATGAAAATTAACCATTTGGTAAGTAAGGAACGTTTCTTGACAACTGAACGAAGTAACGTATTACCTGCAAAATTTGTTGCTACACTAAACAATTTCCAAAAACAAGATTATTATGAACGATTTAGAGCATTTTTCAAGCATCCCGGTAGCTCATAATCTGTTTAGATGTAAAGGCTGCTGCATGACGAAGGCGCAGAAGAAGTATTAATTCGTTATTAATTCGTTCCCGCGTTCGCGCCCAAAGATATTGCGCCTTCATCATGCAGCAGCCTATACAAACCAAGAACGCTTAATTCTCTCAGCAAATTTCTCACACGTGTAAGAGTGTAGAAATTTTCACCTACATGAGGTCAGGCATATCCGTAGTGCTCCTGCGAGCTAAGACAGGAGCGAAATTATTTTGTTAAGTATGTAGTATAGAGTGTAAGCGAAAAGTAAATGCAAACTTTTTTTCCACTTGCTTGAATGCACGTCTAGTAGTCTTACGATTCTTGTATAGAGTCACCATAAATCATTTTCTATCCTTATCCACATCTATACTGATATATAAACCTTCAAAAAATTCTTAATAAGATTTTGACTGCATTCACATTTGCAGACAACCTGCTAAAATGGGTTCGGTCCGTGAAGCGTTTGGAAATATGAATTCGCCCAAAGATGTTCTATCATTTGTAGCAGTAGTGTTTGCAGCACTCTTTGGCTCGTGTGAGTTATGTTTCATGTTCCATGCATTACTATAACTTCAGTTTGTCGTTCCTGCAACTGTAAAATAGCCTTACATTAGCGACGGGAGGTAGTCTTGAACAATAACAAATATACAGGGTGTCCGTAAAGTATGTATACACTGTTTGATCGTTAATATCTCTTTTCCCAAGAAGTCTTTTGCCTTGCGTCAGGTACCATTTTGTAGAGCTGGCTTTAACTTAGAATTGCAGTATAGAACGAATCACTTATCTCTCTTCATTACTGTAGGATTACGGTAGAAACTTGAAACTTATGGTGTCAATGTGGAAAAAGCTGCCGTTTCAAAATTTTTCAAAAAATGTGAAAACTTGTGCAATAGGGTTTTTATGAACGCTGAGTTCAATACTCAACTATTCGCAAGATTGCGAAGCTTTTTAAATGGTGTAACCGCACTTTTTAGGAACATTGAAAAAATGGCCGTTACCTCTTACCCGGCATAACTCTTCAATGAAGCATCTTAAAAAGTTGGGAACTTTACAGTTAGAATCAGCAACTCTAATTAACCTAGTGTAAATGTTTTCAGGCTGTTTCATCTTCTTTCTGAGACAAAATATGGCCTTTCATGGCCCAAAACCCTCTTTCAACTTTCTACCGTAATCCTACAGTAAAGGGGAAAGATGGACGATTCACTCTATACTGTAAATCTAAGTTGAAGCTAGCTCTACAAAATGGTACCTGAATCAAGGCAAAAGACTTCTTGGGAAAAGAGATATTAACGATCAAACAGTGTATACATACTTCATGGACACCCTGTATAATCAAGAATCACGTTTTGTATGAAGATAATAACAAGGCGCAAGTATTTGCTCAAATTTTTGACTAGAACGATTAACTCAGTTTTTGTTCTTTTTAACCCTCAGTAACCCTAATCGTGACCCGGGATTTTGTAAAAAGTTTTACATAATTCATGCCGAAGATTTGGTAAGCAAAATGTTATATATCTTTTGTGACCTTTTCAAGAGTTGTGAGTTAAAGTTGCAGGGTGTCAGAAAATTGCGGAAGCCAAGAATATGCCTATGCATAACTTCGAAAAATGTCGGTGCATTATTAGTGTTACAGATTGACTGCCGCAATAAAGAGCTATCTTGCTACAAAATTTCAAACTCAGAGATGTTTCTGTTGCGCTCTAATACGACTTATAAGCTTTACTGAACGCAAAAAGGTCCCCTGGTTTTGAATTAGGATTAAGCTTTGAATGAGTAGCAGGGCCCGGCACGAGGTCGGCAAATGACAAGCTGGAAATCATTTTGGGGCCAAAAAGCAAAGGGGAAATCGTTTTTGCGGGGTCCGGGGCGGAGCCCCGGAAAAAAATTGGTAGTTCATGCTCGCTACTTATCTTGACATGTTATGTGCCTCAACAGGCGAACACTGGAGTCCGCGCGCGTCAAACCGCGCCGCCGCTAATTGCCGCACGCGCGACGTCACCCAAGCGATGCTATTTGTAACTGCATACATGACTAGTTCTCAATGTATGTGTAACGATATGGCACAAAATTTTGTATGTGAACGGAGAGAGGCTAGTGGAAGCATAGTATGAAAAATTATGAAAAACTTATGTGAACGGAACGAGTAATTAGCATTTTTTCCGAGAATTTCGCAAAACTGGTAAATGAAGATGTGAATTCAAACGGTTCGTTTGGAACGCGCAGATGAACGATATGGTACGAAACTTGGTAAGTACATGCACACGGGCTTGCAGGGCTTAAGTGAGGAGTTTCATTGAAAAATTATGTGACTGAAGGTTGTGGCAAACTTTTTTCTGAAAATTTTGCGCTACCAAAGAAATGGAAAAATGGCTCGTTTGCAACGCAGAGGTAACGAAATCGCGCGGATTTCGGTGTGTATATGCGCAATAGGTCTAAGTAATAAAGTACGAAATATTATGAAAAACTTATGTGAATGAAGAGCGCGCCTAACTAATTTCCAAATTAGGTCGGCATTTGCCGACCTAATTCCCACCTGAGGTCGGCAAAACTCTCAATTCACATAATTTTTTCAAAATTTTTACATAAATCTGTTGTACACCTAAAGTTTACTAAATGGTGAAATTTTGGTTCCGAAACTCTTCCTCTTGTCCTTGTTAGAGCCCAAAATCGCATCAGCAGCCTAGCTTTCTAAGGGCCGCATGCACTAACATCCCTGCGGCGAGGGGAGCGGCGTCCCCAATGATGAAAAAGCCGCAGCGGCGTCCGCACGCGGTCCCTTCATAACGGGGGACGCCGCTCCCCTCGCCGCAAAAATGTTAGTGCATACGGGCCTAAGATAGAAAGCGCGCCCCAGTCAATCGATACGCGCGGGAACGGCGTCTCTCATCCCTATGACTGCGTTTCTTTGATATTTTCTCATTCCTTAATCATTTTTCTTGCTTATTTTTCTTCCTGTTTTCTATTTTGATACAGCTGAGGAGTAATTTAAGGAATTTGAGCAATTTGGGCGCTTTTGAGCGCTTTTAGGCGAAGTGTGGCCGGTAATCTCGTCGCACACACGAAACGTCATTTTTGGGCTCAAGGGGGTATTCGTAAAATTTATTGGGATCAAAGAGGAATTCGTTTTGGAAAACCCCGTTTGCCCACCTCGTGCCGGGCCCTGATGAGTAGGAGATAGATTTTAGATTGTTTCTCTGAGTGAAAATGTCATAACTTTTTTGGAGCGATTTTTTGGTAAGGAAGGCACACAAATCAGAAATAAATTCAAACGGTTTTACAGAGTTCTCGTATTCTAAAAATTATGCTATATCACAAAGAATCCATGTAAATTTTGTTGCGTAGAACTTCATTTGCGAAATTCATGGCGTTTGGAGAAGAGCCGCTATTTCGGCCTTTCTCCGAAGGCAAAATAGTGAATTTGGAGATTACTACAATTAGTAGGTGTGAGATTGTGCATGTCAGCTCATTCACGTCCTTGCGCACTATGAAATTTCACAAAAGGTAGATTTATATTTGAAGCAGAAGTTTTTACAAAATAAATTTCGTCGGCACACATTTTGCCAACTTTAGTTCGGAGAGCAAATATTGATACGCGCAAAAATTTCCATCAAAATTAAGAAAGCGTTTGAAGAAGCAAGAAAAGCGCGATTGTTTACATACCGAATAGTGCAGAACTCTTAGAAAACCGCTGCGTTGAAACAAGGCAACTGAAAAATAAACAAAACATCTAAAACAGCCTAATACACTAGTTAGCTCTAACGTTTTATGTTCTCGTTTGATTTGATCTGTAAAAATTGACCAAATTAGGCAAATATAGAAGAATGCTAAGAGTATGAGATTTACTAAAAATCACAGATATGTTTGTACTGGCACCGCCTCAGGTTAGTTTGCCATGTCACCTAAATAAAAATTGATCAGATGAGTTCTGCAACATTCTTTGTTTTGAATTTTTGTATATACTTGTTCACTAAAAGATAGATAGTTATACAGTGTCGGACAAAATTATCAGTTCACGTTGAAAGTTGTCGTAACTCACCCTACCAATAAATTGGTCCAGAACTTGGTACAGCTGCGTGTACAGCCTAATATCAACCACCAAAGCGGTACTCACTTTGTAAATCCACTTTTTCCAGTCAGCTCTTCCTAGCTTCCAAAATTTTTTAAACTCATGTTTTGAAAAGAGGAAGGGTGGCTTTATGAACATCCGTGATCAAAGCGCAAATATTTCCTTGCGTAAAAGAATCAATTCTATTCAAGCTTGCAATGGTCACAAAAAGGGTTGAAGGGCAGATGAGTTTAGACCTGCTGTTAGGGATCGTCGTCTCTCCAGTGCACGTTGGAAGAGCATTTGTAGACATCTGAACGCGTTAGTGACTTGTCGAACCTATACTCCAAAATATGCTTCTTTGCACTTTCTAGACTGCCACGTATATATGCTGTTGTCATACTTATAGCAGAGTTGGTAGCGAGAGATTGCAAAAACAATGCCTTGCAGCAAAGGGTTAACAAACTCACCAAGGTGTTCGAATGTCTGCTGCTCCTCCCAGCGCACACCGGGGAGGCAACGATGTTTATCGAGTCTGCTTCAATAGCGAAAACTCAGGCTTTATTATTGATACTCACGTTTCTAAGCTTTCAAAAGGTAGATGAAATTTCGTCATTTCCAGGTGAGGTATAGCAGAATCCCGTTGCAACACAGGTTTTAAACGATATACATATGAGATTACCTTCAAGCTAAAAAGCAAAAGTGTTTCTTTTGAGTACAACACAGCCGCGACTAAGCAATTGTTTGACATTCGAAATGTGATGATTGTCTCTATGATTCGTATAGAAGCGGGTTGCGGACTTTCCCTGATTTTAAAGATGAACTTGTCAACTACGTCATAGCATTGTTTTTCGTACTCTCTCGATATCAAGAATAGCCACGCTTTGAGTTGGCAAAACCCCGCCTCTACAGAAATCGTGGAGAGCTAGAAAGTGTTTTGATAATTGGGAGCAAACTCCAGGTGGGCTTATAATTTTGGTGAGCTTTTGAGCCTGCTTTCCTCAAAACTCAAGTTTTTCTTGAATAACCAAACAAAAGCGAGGCCCCCATACTGATGACTGATATTAGGCACTGATATGCAAACAACCGTACAATTTTGAATAAATTTATACGATGAGTGAGTTGTATTTTTTTGGGTAGACCTACAATCTCGGCCAGCACTGTACAATGTGCTTTAAAAATATAAAGAGATCGTTTGATTCCCAAGGTCCCTTGCACCCATGGATTGCGTAAATCTTGGAGTAATTTTGTAAAGTTGTGTTGACGTGGAATGACAGTACGAATGTTAATTGCCAAGCGCTCTCAATAACTGTGGTGCACAGTGGAAACGTACAGCACAATAAATTTTTTTTTATAATTTAGCCATTTTCCAGAATTCAGAAAGCTGGAATCTCATCTGCAATTTTTGTCAAATGCAGAGTCGGGTACAGCAGCATCTAGGCTTTCGCATGGCCGCCTAGCCTGAACTCGGTGCCTCTTTCGCAAACACGCTTTCAAGTTATTTTCGCAGCTTAATTAGCGATTGAAGCTGCCTTTCCCACTCTCGCGGTAGCGAAGTTACGAAAGAAAAGTGCTTACGAAAGAGGTGCAAAGTCCAGGTGAAACGGTCGCGCGGGAGCGGGAACGCTGGTGCACCCGATCTCTGCAATTGATAAGCCCTGTGAACTTTCACAGTTCTATGAAAATGGTTAAAGGCAGCGTCCAGGCAGACGTCCGAGCCTCGAGGACTACGCCGACTTCCTCGCACGGCTAACTTCTTTGAACGAAATCTCCTCCGCAGTGGACGTGTTTTCACATGGCAAACACAATCGAACACACAACGTTTACCTGTTAAAGGTAGCGTCCAGACAAACCTAGACTATGGGGCCCTCACGTGGATAGTACTCTTGGGGTCTCTTGGCCTAACTAAGCCTCTGTCCAACCGGCAACTCAGATAGTGCACTAACGGCTGAGATATTCGCCTAAACTGGACCCCGGGATCGTATCTCGCATGGATTCATGGAGCAAGCCATTAATTTCGCGCGAGGACCCATGGGTTTCGCCATGAATCCATGCAAAATACGATCCCGGGGTCCAGTTTCGATACGAATATCTCAGCCGTCAAAGCACTACCTGAGCTGCCGCTTAGGCAGTGGCTTAGTTAGGGCCCCAAGATCACTATTCACGTGAGAGCTCCATATGTCCAGACTTGCCTGGACGTTGCCTCTAATGCTTGCTTTTGACAAGGATAGCATCGTTAACACTCGTCAGGGTTCTCAAAAAAAAATAGCCACAAAACTGGTTTTTAAAGGAATTCACGTTTTTTGGATGCCATAAAATTCAGAATCAGCACCATGAAAGCGTCTGGATAACGTAATATAATAGTCGAGAATCTGCTCTGTTTGGACGGCCTTTAAGCAAATGCCAGCAATTTTGAATCAATGTTCCAGCAAAGAATGGCTCCTATTGGGCTCAGAATCACCATAGATACCGAAGTCATATGGTAACGAAGAATGATTGATTGTCTGCATATACTGTGCCCTATTCAAGATCGAGCCGATTCGTTGTCATAACTTTACGCGCTCGCGGCGTAGAAGGTTTGCGCAGCATGTGCGCAGCGTCAGGGAGAGGAAGTGAGAGAGAGGGAGAGAGAGAGAGGGGGAGAGAGAGAAGATATTAAGGAGAGAACTGAGCAACCCGTAGAACTTGACGCAAACCCCTTGTGACTCCATCGCCATGCTCACTGAGGACGCTGAAGAACTATGGGTTAACGCCTTATATCTCGCGTTTCGTGAATATGAATGATCCCTCCTTTTTTTGGAGATTCTGGGACCATGGGTAAAGTTTTTTATTGCCTTGCGTAATTCTCTGGTTACTGGGTGCCTCGAATTCGATTAAAAAAGTCTCAAACTTACTGGTCTATTATGAAGTTCTAAACGGTTTCCCTATGGGACAAATGAACATACGGAAGCTATGAATTATTTGACAAAAACTGAATTGCGAGCACTGACTCAGTGAAGATTTCGTCATCAATGTTCACTTATATGTTCACCAAACATACCATACTAGCCCTGCCACATAGCAGATCCTTACCTCAACTTTACGATATCTTTGCTGAGTTTCTGATGAGATGAATGATTTTCAAGAAGAGCGGCGATACCTGGGAAATGCCCTGAACTCACAATCAGTCGCATGCCAATGCGGTTCCATTTTCCGAGCTAATGTAACAGTCTAGAGACTAGAAAAATATCTAGAAGACGAGGAAAAGTTCTTTGAAACGGTAATTAGGCGTTTTTCAGCCCCCTCTCCTTTCAGCAGGGATCTACTTGGATGCAGACCTAACAATAAGTTAACCACACAACAAAGTGATACTGAGGACGGCTCAGCAGGGGTGGCGCTTTCACAAGCTGGGTGTCGTTTTCGAGAGAAAAGCAAAGGGGAAGCCGTAAAGTTTAAGGATGAATCCTGGAAATCTCAAAAAATATCAGCAAGCACAACTATGATTTTTAATGGGATCGGATTCGAATGCTGACGTCATTTGCCCAGTAACGGTGAATCAAAACGTCATAAACATGCTTAGTGCCTCCCTGTCTGCGCAATTTTTTCTTTTTGAAACACAATTTTATGCCGAAAAGACAAATTGTCACTTTGTTTACAACGGGTAAGCAGAGCCACCAAATTTGGTGTGTACCTTCGCTACGACAGTCAAAAGAAAAGTATGAAAAATTATGAAAAAATCATGTGAGTAAAGGGAGTTGTGAATGTTTTTCTATTTTAGGTTGCTCCAGCGCAACCTGAGAGCACCCTGAGGTTGCGCGGAAGAAAAAAAGAAATTTTTTCTCCCGCGCAACCTCTTTTCCACATAATTCTTCGTAATCTTTTACATAAGTCTATTCTTCAGTTCAGGCCTTACCTAGAGTGTCCACATTAATCCAAGTTTCGCCCTCTTTGCTTTGCTACGGCCCTTTATGATTTAAAATAAAGAATTTTTGCCTATCGCTGTTTTATCTCTAATTTTCCTTGTTTTTTCTTCATTTCCATTCACCCATAGAACGATGAGTAGATGGAAGTGAAGAAAAATTGCAAACATTGCTGCAGATCATTAGCCTCTGAACACCGCAAAAGGTAATTCGCAATCCTCTGCAATATCAGGGGGATATTAGTTTTCAAAATTCCCGAGTGCCACAACTTCCTGGATTTTACACAAAAACACTTTTCCAAAGGCTAAATTTGAAGGTCTTGTGAAAATAATCTAGAACATATATCCGCTTCACTACTTTCGTCGTTTTTGCAAGAGTTATGATCAGAGAAATTTTGCTTGACATCCCAGGCTTCTTCTATCCTTTAGCCTTCACGATGTAAACATTATATCCATACTACAATAATTTCAGGTGCTATTCTTGTGTTGTTAGCTATATTGAATATTATCCCTATCGCCATGATAGCAGTTGGTGCATTACATCTTCACGATTGCCGGATAAACCCAATGATACCTATCTGGTTGATCGTTTCTGGCTCCACGTCACTAGTTCAAAGTGCCCTCAGCCCCATCGCCAAATCCGAGGCATGTACATCGTGTTTTATTTGCTTGTTTTTCATGCACATATACAGCCCACTGTCTCTGGAGCCTAATCCGTCCCTTGGAAGCTTGGTGTAACCGCGTAGAAGACGGGGGGGGGGGGGGGGAGGGAGGGAAGAGGAACGAGCAAACAAAATGTAAGGAGTGACGGCACCCCAAAGTGGTTTTCTTTTGAAAAAAAAAAGTCCGTCATGTTTAAATACCTCAGATTTAAGCGCTCTTTCCCGCCTCTTTCATATAAAGCTAAATGTGTTTGTGTATATGACTTTCTGTGTGTGTACGTAGGTTTCGAAAAAAATTCCATATTGAACCGATTCGGAATATATCTCACACATGCAATTCGGGGCGGGCGAATGTCGTAGGCTAGTTTTTGTGTATGATACCGATTTTATCAATTTTCAACGATTTTTGGAAAGTTTAATCCACGGGACGGTATTGGCACAAGTGTAAGTGAGCATATTGACTACGAGTATAATATTGTTTCTTAGGATTATTAGTCCCTTTATCAATATCGATATTTGCAAAGTTTGAGCTACGAGGCTAGGAGCTGGCACAGGCGTGGGGGATAAGTGAGCATGCTGGTTGACTGCCGAAAACATAGCGGAGGCAGGGTACCGTCGTGTAGAGGTGGGACCGGGAACAAGTAGATGTTTACGGACATAGGGTAGGATGATTTCAAACAATATACTGATATAAATCACCATGCCCGAGTTTGATAGGAGTGCGAGTTAATCGCTGAAAGTTGCGACGTTTCCTTACCATGCTGAAATCTCGCCAATTTTTGTTTGAGATTTTGAAAGCTTTACTAACCAGCAGGTAGGGCAGACTGTTTGCCAACGAAACGTTTGTTTTCTTTATCTAGCTATTCTTTTAGAGATTTGCAAAATAATTTTTTAAATGTTTTGAGTTTTGAGAAAATGACATGATTTGTTATTGCGCCAAACACTGAAAAATCTCAAAGTACAGGTCAACACTCGATTATTACTATTAACAACCTACCTACCAACAAAGTAAATGAGCGATTTTCGCTTCAAACTCTGAAGATTTTGGAACTTGATGCACATCAGCGCGCACTAGGTAAATTGAAATACAGGGTGTCCCAAAAATGTCTTTTGGTGTCTTTCGGGAACTTTAGGTATCCACCATTATGCAGTGCAAAGTTCAACTTAGTACAATGTAGAGGGAATTAGCGGTCTTTTCATTACTGCAGGATTATGGCAAAAATATCCAAAAAGGATTTTAGGTCATTGAGAGCCATACCCTGTTTCAAGAAGAAACCAAACAAGCCGAGAACTCTTGTACCGGGCTAGCCAAACTCGCTGATTACAAGAAATTTGCGCTTTACTGTCTTGTTTCTTTCATAGGGTAGTCCAAGAATATCGTGGCAAGTGTATTTCTAACGTCCGTAGGAATGTGTTTACAACCATTGAAGAAGCAAAGTCGTAGAAAGTTGTGTGGTGAAATCAGCATGTGCGAAAACCCTTCTGCACGATTCGAATTTTTTGAAAAAAAATTGTCAGTCAGCCTTTTTAGAATGGCTTCTTATACCGAAAGTTCTTATAATAATCCTACATTAATGATGGGCAATCGACGTTTCGCTCTGTACTGTAAATCTAATTATTTTGAGTTATTGACCAAACAGTGTGCGCATTTTTCTGAGACCCTGTATACCCAATTTTTCCAGCAAATTCCGCGTGTCCCGCCAAGAAAAGACAACTGTTAGAGAAAGGAAAAAAAGTTGCATACTAATACAAAACTGTTTACCATTTTATGGTCCCCGAGGATAAAATAGACCGAACATAAAATTTTGTTACTTCGAAAAATATTCGGCACAAGGTTTACCCTACCCGATGGATAGTGAAGCTCCCCCAAACGTTTTGAAAAAATATTTGAAAACTAGCGAAAGCTGGACACGGTGAAAACGAAGGGTTGCAAGTCTTGAAAGGGAACAGTACCCGGTGTCCCTGGCCTTTTGAGATGAGATGTATACCATTACACTCGTTTTGGAGTGCTGATTCCGAATCTAACTTCGGTCTTTGCCAATCGTTTCTCTAAAAAAGTTATGAAGGACATTCGTTAAAGGAAGTAAGATCGGAATGCCAAAAACGCCGCTGCGATGTGATGTAGTGGCTAGTGCGATAGCCTCACAAATTAAGCAGGTTTAGGTTTGAGTTCTTTTGTGTTTTTCAGTTTTAGATTGCTTCAATTAAGCTTCTTTTTGAAAGTTAGGCATCCTCGACCGTACTTCTCTTGGGCGACCATTGACGCGAAAATCCTTTATAACTTTTTTTAGAGGAACGATTAGCAAAAACGGAAGTTAGATTCGGAACAGCGTTGTAAAACGAGTATGATGGTGTACCTTTCAGCTCAAAGAGCCAGGGTATCAAGTATCGTTCCCTTGTTAGCGATTATCTCAGTGCTCTCTCGATGAATCGCTTTGCAGATATGGCAGTTGAGTAAGGAAGGGGGGGGGGCTACATGGGTACAGCTTGAATTGTTTATATATCTTTACTGTAAAGAGCTCGCGGGTCATTTCAAAAAACCTGACAGAACTTTTGAAGCGACCTAATTGTTGCACTTAGAAGAACGACCATACTCTATACATATTGCTTGTTTTGTTAATGTGATGTTTGAGTACCAGTAGAAATTTATTGATTTGTTAACTTCGGAGGCAGTCCTGCAAGCTTTAGTGATATGGCCGTCACCCATCCTAAACGCTCTTTCTTTCGATCACCATCTTCTCATTTTTTTGCGGTGCTCGTATCTCAGCTTTCTCCGCCAAAAGCGCATATTCGCATTACATGTCGAGAGACATAACTTATAGAACATTTTAAACAACGGTAAACATCTGCTGCTGAGCAGGCGCTCTCTGTAGCTAACAATATATTTGAACTAAAAGCTTCGGCGGCATTCTCGCAGGCAATTTGTAGCGGTCACCGTAAAATGCGACAAGACACGATTCTTACGCTCGCAATAAGCCCTATCTGGTATGACACTGGGCTCAAAGAAATCAATTCTACTTTTTGTCGTCCTCATCTAGCGGTTCAGTTGTTGATAATAATATATTAGGTCTTTTCATAAGTTCGCAGAAGTGGCAAGTCAGCGAAATGCAAAAAGCGGGTCTGGTCCCAAAAAAGTCGTCTAATCTAACCAGGGCCTGAGATCGTCTTCAAAATCAAAATAGATGCCGTTCATATGATGTGTGATAGACGGTAAGAGACGACCATGTATTAGAGCGAGATCTCAGCAGTACCTTGAGTACTAATATACTTCCCGGTCAAGTCTTGCAGGACAGCTATGATGACGATGCCGTGGGAGGCCAAGTTCTGTCGCGCAGAAAAGTTCACTGGACATGTTTATCGGACTCTTTGTTCAGCAGGGATTCGTTTAGACGTACTGTCGTGTTGCATACGGTTTTGGCGACGGTCTTGTTTCTTCCTAGCAAATTTCAATGCAGAACCTCCTGCCCATCATGCAAAAAGTCTTGTTCAGGTGGCACCCTATAAACTCTTTGTTTTTGAAGCAACCTAGTCCTTTTTTGCCTCATACTGATAAGAAAATGCCATCTTCCATGATTGGCAAAAAATCTGAGCAAAACGTTCTGTTTTTTATAAGAAAAAAGAGAAAATGCCGAAAATGCTTTATTTTACCTTTTGAGAAATCCTTTTTTGGAAGCTGAGGAACCAAAACAGATTTGTTTTGCCTACAAGATAGTTATTTGTTTTGAAGAGTATGATCAGCTTTTCTTGATGATATACGCATCTTGCCGCAAATCAACCGCTCCTCAAAGAAATGAGAACGAGAATGAATACTCTACGAACTTATGAAACGACCTAATACGAATTGTCAAAAAGTCTTGCTTAGCGCATCGACTTGTCCATGACTCTGCGCGTAATAGGCAACTTCCTGATTCAAAAACGGAATTTTTTGTGCAGTCGCATCTGCGAACAATATGCCCCTAAAACGGAAAGGGCTTAGTGGCATCTCAAGGAGAAATTTATGTTTTCTTTCAGGCCGCATCATGCTTTACAATCTTGGCAAGAGCTTTGTTGGGATTGCTTAGTCTATTTCATTTCGTTTGGTGAGTTCAATTTTTTGCTCCGTGCACCTTTTTGTTAATCTTGGGAAGCACCAGATCACGTGGCGTTAGGTAGAATAATGAATAATTAGGCTCGATACCGTTCTGGTGCCGATACTCGAAACATTAGACCTTTTGAAAGGTGTGCCAGGGCCATCGACGCATACATAGTCTTGCCTGCAATACTCGCGGTTTTCAGAAACGACTTTTACAATTAACGACTAATATAAAAAAGATGAGTAGTGTGTGTGCCGGCGTTAATCGGTCAGTAGATCTAATATGATGCATAATCTGTCTGCTCGCTTGTATGTGAAGTAATCACATAAATTGCACGGCTTCATTGCGCTACGCCACTATTTTTAGTCATAGGGAGGTTTTGATTCAAATTTGCTGTAATTTGCTGTAACTAAATCGGCATGAGAACAGGGCCCAGCACACGTTGGTTTGGAGCTTTTCTGGAAACGAAGTCCCCTATGACTTCGCGAAAATTTACGAAGTCCCTTTTGACGTAAGCATCGATAGGAAAACCCCTATTCAATCAAAATAACAATAAAAAAGCAAAAAAAGTATTTTAAATCATCTAGTATAACAAAAAAGCAAAAAGAAAACATTTCGAATCCATTAAAGGCTCTGCTGTTGGGTAAAGTACCATTTTAGTGCTCGGAATGTCGAAAACCTCCCAGGCCAACCAAATCTGTGGCCTCAACAATCCGGCGATGCATTTTTCGCCACTTAGTTCAAAGGACACCACATGTGATTGGAGCGCGATATCTATCACCGCGTAGGATTACTCTACTTTTGGCTCGAAAAAGGAGGAGAGGCGGTGGTTTGATTCGCTCTCTTTACTATATGATAGATTTTTGATCGTTCTAATCGTCCAAATCAAAAAGATCCAAAACTTATGTAAACTTTCCGATATTTATGCTCCGAACCAACCCAGTTGGTTTGGTGGTTGGTCTAGAAACAACAAAATCGGGAACGCATATTAGGACACATAAGTTTTTGGAACTTTTTACATCACATAGTTTGAAGTAATATTGTATACAAATATCCCAAATTCGGAACCATGTGATTGTTTGTGCGCTGTGAACAAGCCATTTGTTTGTTTGAGTACTGCGTTTGAAATTCGCGCGCTTGCGAAAGAACACGTTCAGCTCGTGAAACCTGACATGTTCGTCGTTTTTTTTTGGCGTTTCCTCCAGGACCTTATAAAAACGATATCCCCGTTGCCTCCAACTCCAAAAACGAAGTCCAGTTTGACTCCAAACCATCCGTGCCGGGCCCTGCATGAGAATGCTTTGAGATTTTCTGTGAAATAAGTATTTCATTGAGATTATCACTTGTTTCAACTAAGTGATTGACTTTGAACCACTTCTTGAGAAATCTGATTTTTTGATGAAATCAATTTTGTACATCACTCCTTACAGGCTCATCTTGGGTTCCGTGTGGGTGTACGGCGCTTATGGCAAAGTCAGCTACGAGCCTGTTTCCGTTGATTATTGTGACAAAGCGACTTTTCTGTTCCCATTTATCGTCCTGACGATTGCTTATTCGCTTATTGCACTATTGTGCGTTACCTTATGTTGTTTATGTTGCTGTGCTTGTTGCATCGGCAAATGAGGAGATTTTCGCAACGCCATGACACTACTTTGTGAGTCTGCCCCATTGTGCTCGATAAGTTTCGATGCCCAACTGCTTATGCTGTGATAAATATATATATACCCTGATGTCACGAGTATAAAACACACCTTAAAAGCTAGGCAATATGCAACGCTGAATAGGGTCCTATGGTTGCGAAATTTTTTGCTGTGTTCAGGCTTGTCAAATTTAGAAAAAAACGGGCGCGTCTTGTACTTATGAAATTAAGGTACTTAACTATCACCGACGCTTGCCGAGAAGTTATGAAAACAACCACATACATATAAAGCTGTCACTATACACGAACAAGATGTCTTGAATCGAAAATTCATGAAATGTGATGATAGTACATTTGGCCTTCTAATCTCATATTATACATGTTCATAGCGCTGACTGTTTAGAGCAGCTACTTATCAGTGTGTTTTGATTGTAATTGTGGAGAATAGATATGTGCGAAGAATTTTTGCGATTTGAGCTGTAAAGAATCCCAATATAAATGATAAAGATCAACTCACAGCTGGAGATGTTGAATGTCCACTAGCAAACGCTAGTGGACAGTGTCTACTAGCAATGATTCTCGTTGGCGCAAAACCACAGAATTTCAAAAAGAAAAAAGTGCATTATCTTTTGCTTGACATTCCACTAGGTATTTCGGTCAAAAATCTGATAATCCAAGAGAAATTGACACACGTTTACATATTTACAACTATATATCTCTGTTGCTTCTACAGCTTGGGGGAATATCTTGAACTTGGCCGAGGGGAGTAAGATGGCTTGTGCAAGGCGATTCAAAATAAACTTTATCATACATAGAAGCCATGCTGCATGAGACTTGACGCTTTCGATTGAGGAGGGAGAGCAACATTCCGAAGCGAGACTTATAGAATAACGAATTTGCAAGTTATTCTAAAGATTTAGATTGGATATAACTTCTGGTCGGTTAGCTAGAGATTTTTGAAATAAGATGAATTATTGGAGGCTTGAATCTCATTCTGACCATATGGGAACGGGACTCCCACAACGAGACGGGAACGAATTGTGAACTTAGCTGAATGCAGCGAGAATGGAGGCGAATGTGAGGCGATTTTAGAATGAATTCGGAAGCTGCATGGGACTTGACGCATTGTTTGAATGGGGAAAAAGGACAACTTCCGAAAATTTGAAAATATCGAATTTGCTTAGTTATCTTAAAGATAGGTTGTTATCTTTTGTCTGGCTTGCTAAAAAGTGGTAGAATGATGACAAATGATTGGAGGCTTGAACCTCCTTGTGACAGTAGAGGAAATCTTTTCCTTCTTATTCAAATCAAAAATTTCGTCCATGCTTAAAAGTACGATGGGATTGTTCCACTTTGATTCGTTATTGTATGAAAATGACAGCCGAACCGTGAGAACTTCTAGTCTATTTTTTATTTCTTTCTGACTGGACTTCTAACATTTTTGCATTGGTTACTCATTCTAATTTAAGATTTTAATTTGGATGAACGACTTCAGTACAAATGATACACAGACTTTGATGTTCTGTTTCATTCAAACAAGCCATTGTAGCTGAATCAGAAAGACCGTAGAGATGCAGAGTACTAAATAAGGAGTATATGATTTGTGACAGCGTCAGCACAATTCTTATGAAAAAAGACACGATGTACTAGTACAAAATCACTATGACCTTTACTTTGTATGTCTTCCTCTCAATCATCTTCTCTGCAATGCTCCTATTAATCATTTTTTGTGGATTTATAAAACCTACTCGTTTCCTTACTGTAACATGTTATTAAAAAACACTTTTAAACCCAGTCAACGTAAAATCTTCATTCTTTAACTATTTGCATGTAATTAGTTTTTTACATTAAAAGATTTATTTTATACAGACAAACGGTCTCAACAAACGCAAAATAAACCAATTTGCAAATGCACGATAAACAAGTGTGTACGATACCTGAATGCGCTGTTTTCCTATGAAACGTGCCAACCACGGTACTCATTGTCAGAGTACAAATGTAATTACTTGGTTTGTTTACTGCATCAGTTACATGATTGTTTCGAAAAAAGTAATTTCTCTTATCAAAGTCCGTTTAAAAGAGGTCAATAGAAGTGCAAGGCTATAATCCCATGCCAAAATGCACTATTTGGCTGGTGATTAGGAAACAAAGCTGCTTACCCTAAGCAATCGTTACGCTCGTTGATTGAAATTGATGTTGAAGGATCTGCAAGGATGAAAGAGCAGAGCTTTTCGCATTACTCTGTGCACAAAATTGCATGAAAAGCTGTCATAGCAATACTCAATGCTGTCTTAAGAAAATATCAATATCTTTTTGAAATTAAGCTACAGATTCACAAATGTAAACTTTTGGAGGATTCCTTATTGATGATATAAGCGTTACTTCGCTCCTTTAACATATTGACGACCGCTTGACACGCCATGACCCTCACTGGAATGGCTATTAATTTGTGTCAAACCACCTCTGGGAGTTTGGTTTCATGCCGGATCTGGATACAACCTCTACTGTTTTTGCCAGCATTCCAGCGCTACTGTAGGTGTACTGTAGGTGAAAGTATGCGTGATTTTATCTGAAAAATGTTGGCTGGTCCAAGAAAGGCCTTTTTCGTCAATGTGTTAATTGACGATGCTATGACGATGTTATATATAGGGCTTATCAACTGCAGTGTCGGATGCATCAGCATCTCCGCTCAAGCGTTAGACTCCGTGTTCCGCTAATGTGCTATCTGATCACTTTCCCAAGGCGCGTGGGAAAGGCGGAGCCTTAAGCGATTGGAAGTAATCAGAGAGCATGTTGGCGGAAGAGGCGCAGTTTCCAGCGCTGAACTGGAAATGCAGATGCACCTGACACTGCATTTGATAAGCCCTGTAGATGGTTAACGCTTGAGTTGCTTCAAATTAGACAAATCTCGTTGCAATACCACTTGTGTTTGAAGTGCTGTGCAAGAGAAGCGGTAGCAATTGCAAGCCGCTTCTGCCAACTCATGGCGATGCATTATTTAGAATCACGAATTTTTGGTTCACTGGAAAGAAAAAAGTCAAGATAAGTGCTCCACGAGTATTGCTCGCCCGGTAAAGTGCAGTTTGGTAATGCACTTGCAAGAAAAATGAATACTCGACGTTTTACCTTTAGAACGCTTTTTTGAAATTTCAACGTGACTTCATTCACAGCAATTTGCTCTAAATTCTGGCTTGTGTTCTGGAAATTCATCATTTGTTGAGTAAGGCACGGTCCATATTTGACAACTAATCCAAGTAACATGTTACCTGCAAAACTCATTGCTACGTTTACCATTTCTCCAAAAATCTCAAAGCAGAGTTATTATGAATCTAATATATTTTTTCAAGCATCCTGGTAGTTCACTCATGTTTAAATATATATAGCAAGACCGCTTAGCTCTTTCAGCAAATTTCGCACACTTGTAAAAGTGTTCAAAATTACGTACCTACATGAGGTCAAAAGTATTTCCATAGCGCTCTTGAGAAGGAAAGCTGAGAGAGAAGCGACATTGTTTTCACAAGTATGCATTATAGGGTGCAAGTGAAAAAGTAAATGTAAATCACAAGTTTGATACCACTTGCTTGATCGCACGTCTAGCAGTCTTACAATTCTTGGAGAAATAGCTTCAGTCACCATAAATTATTCCTTTCCCGTCCACATGTATACTGATATACAAACTATAATTTCCAATAACATTCTGATCTACATCAGACATCCTGGTAAAATGGCTTCGGTCTGTGAAGCGTTTGAAAATGTGGATTCGCCCAAAATAGTCTATTTATACGTAGTTTGTGGAGCAAACTCTTTGGCTCATGTGAGTTACGTTCCGACTGTGGTCAAGCAAGTGCCAGCATTTTGACTTGCCGAAATCATATGGTAACGAAAAGTAATCGATTATCTGCATATATTTTGTTGAATTCGCGGGCCCGATTTGTCGCGAACTTGCGTGCTCATAGTTATGGTTTCGTTTGCATGTGCGCAGTGCCATAGGGAAGAGATTGAAGAGAGAGCAGAAAAGTTACGTAGACGTGACGCAAAACCCTTGCGACACGGGTTCTCGCCACGCCAATATTAGCGGTTGTTTGCTGGGACAGACTGGCTGCTATCTGTTTGAAGGCGCACATGCACGCTCATCCTTGCTAAGAAGTGCAGAGAAACTATAAGAGGACGCCTATCTCGTCTTGTTTCAAAGTTACCATAAATAACTTATTTCTACATCAAACACACTTCTAATAGCTTATACCTGATCATCACCACAACTTCATGATATTTCTATTAATTTTGTGTAAAAAATAAATGACTTTGAAAAGGGCATCGATTCCATGGTATACTCCCAGGAATACACGTAGCGATCGCAGCTATGTCAATGCACTTACATTCATCAAGCTAGTCAGTATATTGTAAGAGTTTATAAAGATGTGTAAGAAACGAAAAATACAGTTCTTTTCAAAACACGGATATCAGATTTTCCCCCACAGCTCCCTTTCCTTTTATCGGGTGTACGTGCATACAGGGCTAAATAGAAGCCATCCTACAAGCAATACTGGAGATTCTTATAGAAACAATGAAGCAAGAAAGTCATTGATGAAACCGATTTATGGTGAATTTTGTAGATGGGGAACTAGCAGAGATTTACCACAAAAAATTTTTCCAAAAGAAAGTCGATTTCAGGTGTTATTTTTGTGCTGTTAGCTCTATTGTTTATCATCTGTCGCTATTACGATCGTAGTTGGTGCATTACATCTTCACAATTGCCGGGTAAACCCAATGATACCTATGGATGATCACTTCTGACTCCACGTCAATGGTTCAAAGTGCCTTGAGCGCCATCGTCAAACTCAAGGCATGTTCATCGTGTTTTTGCTCTGTTCTCGCACACTCCATCATCTCTGAAAGAAAGCTTAATCGTCATCGTTGCAATCTAGGCGTGGCTGCGTAGGAGGAGGGGGGGGGGGGGTGGGCGAGCAAGCGACAGGGCGCTGCACAGTGGCTTACGAGGAGGCTGGATTATTTTTGGGGGGGGGGGAGTAAAAAGCAAAAAGGGTGTGGTTTTGTAGAGCCCGGAATTCGCGAAAAA